TTCTCGCCAAGACTCATTTCTTCCTCTCAGTTTGTTGCCACGTTTATTTATTGGCCAGGGAGGGTTGCAATTGCTCAATTTGATTAACATGGCCTGGGCGAGTGCCCCAAGAGACCGGTCAGAGGCTCTTTGGCAGCCGCAAGGGTTCCACGGCATCTCGCAGGCCGCTGATGTGCCCTGCCTGGCATTGCACGGGGACTGCGACGATCGCGTGCGGCTGGCAGATGCCAAACTGGTGCAGAGCAAGACGCATATTCCGCTGCCCGGTCATCAACTCGGAGCCCTCCAAAAGCAAAGAAAGCGCAGCGTGTCGATGTGGGTACCCTGTTTGGGGTTGTACTGCCACAAAAGGGACACCAAAATCATGAATAACAGTGGTGTTCCTTTCGGGGATTCATCCCTTTTGGAGGGGAACGCTCCTGAATAGGACGGGGTTATTCATCTAGCAGGTGGGTGGAAGGGCGCCAAGAGGAGAAGGTATCCAAAATTTGGTGTTGAAAGGGAAGGTACTGATCGGAGTTCTGGTTAGGGACATGGTCATCCGGGGTCAACGGTACATGTCACTTGGAGGCTGGAAGTCTTCCCCGGGCTGGGGCACGAGATCTCGGATGCAGTGCTCGACCGGGTGGCGGCCTTTTGCGAGGAGTCGAGCGTCTCAGAAGAGAACCATGAGGGGAAAGCATTTTTGTGGGTAGCCTTTGTGTGCCATGAAAGCTATACATCAGCGAAGCGTCGGCGCCTCCTGCCCTCCTGCCAGGAAGTGCTGCCTGTGCCGGAAAGAGCCATCGTCGTTGCCAAGGCAGGCCTTGTGAGGTGAGGCCTTCGTCAGGGTATTCGCACAGTTTGAGAAGGATATGGCGGACTTACCGAATTTCCTTCAAAGAGACTTGGGAGACTCACTCGCCCATGTGCATTGCAGCGACCAAATAAGGGTGTCAAGGGTGTGACTCTCTTTCCTGCCAAGCTGTGAGACTTTCGGGGAATTGCGCACGGGTTTGTTTGTCCATCGCGCCACCCTCAAAATGCGTGGTTTACTGTTGGCTTCCCTTTAAGCCAACTTTCAGCAAAAGACGCAGCCACATTTTGGCCGTGCGAGGAGACGCCGGTCTTGCTGCAGGAGGCGCGGCAGGCAAAGCTGCTGCGGTGGGTGAAGAAGATCTCTCAGGCCGGGGATCCCAAAGCCCAAAGCGTGGCGTCCCCGAAAAGGAGAGGGCGAAGAAAAATGGCTTGAGGTATCTTGGAGGCGCGGCGGCGACTTTGAGCAGCGACGATTTTGTAGCTTCTCATGGGCTTCTTCTCCACCAGGCCAACAGGCAACCGCCATTCTGTGCTGGGTAAGCCCTTCGTCCAGGTGGACAACGCAAGAGCCACTGCAGGTGATCACGATGTTCGACGACCAGCGCTTCATGTCCCACATCGTCCACCTGGATATGGTGGCTTTGCCTGCAGCACGCCAGCTGGGCGGCGGGCTGGTGAAGCAGCCCGGCCTGAGCGCCGGAAAGGCCCCGAAGGGCGGTTTTTCGGCAACCCATTCAGTCACTTCAGTCCCTGCCTGTGGAAGAGGTAGCCTCCTCTCGTTGGTTGCCATGGCTTGAAAGGGGGCCCTGATAAAACGGGTGCAATGTTTGTGGAAGTGGTTGGCTGGCATCGTGCTCTTTGGGCTCAAGTTGCGTGCAGAAAGGTCTGTGGCCCGTGGCTTGAGGTACGAGCTTCATGATGCGGGGCCGGAGAGCAGAGGCGCGTAGGTGCCCATTACCCGTATATCCGCTAGCTCCACATAGGGGATTCCAACAGTGGGTGATTATGTAAGGATGGTTTTGGAAGGCTATCGTCTTAAAAGGGCCTATCCACTTTAATTGCCAAAATCGCTAGCCTATTTCAGGTGTCTTTTCCAGATCTATTTCATTTTCTAGGGCACCCCCCAAAAAAATGACCCTGAGCATCTGTTTTTCTGTGTGCATTTCCCAAACCCCTCCTCCTCCCCCTCCTCCCCCCCCCCAAAAAAAATAAAGAAAACCCTCCCCTCCTCCTCCCCTCCCCCCCGGTCCCCCCAAACCGGGGCCCCCCAAAGGCCCCGCGAGGCCTCGTGGTGCTCTTCCACGGGAAGCAGCGGAACCTCCGCGAAGGCGCGCGGCCCTTGGTGGAGGCCTACTGCCGGCTCAAGCTCTCGGCGCCTCGGCGATTCGGAGCAAAATTTGCCCCCCGGAGCGGGGCCCGGTTTGTGCCACTGCTACCCGCCCCACCTTTAAAGGAAGAAACACAAACAAAGCAAAAAACAAACAAGACACAAAAAACAAACACAAAAACAACAACCACAAACAAGCAAGAAGAGCAACAACACAACAAGAAGCAATACAACTAGCATACAAGAAAGAACACAGATGAATAGATAGATGAATGATAGACAATAAAACCAAAGGCAACAACAAACAAACACACACAAACAAACACACACACATACAAATGAGCAACACAAAAAAAAACAGAGCCTTTGAATTTTCTTCAATGGTTGCAAGAACTTCCCTGATAAACATGGTGGAGAAAAATCCCAGTGTAAGTTCTGTCCACCGAAGGCTCATTGATTCAACACAGCCATATGTCCCCCTTGTTCGGAGGTTTGTCAATCCCGCCTCTGCCAAATCGAAGTGAGTCCTTTGGTTTGGGGCGCCATGTAGGCCGCGGTTTGAACAATCGCTGTCAGGTGTGCGTGATTGACTATCGGCAGAGGCTTCTCGGCTGGAACAGCCAAAGCTCTCTCTCTCTCTCTCTCTCTCTCTCTCTCACTACGGCAGATGTCCAGACTTGGGTTCGTCAAGATGCCCGACACCTTTTTGGACCCCCTGTACGGAACAAAGTGACACCAAAGTTGCAAAAGGGATCCTTTCCCCACCAACTGCACGCACACACACACACACAAAGTGGTTAGAAGCTGCAAAGTACAAGCCTCCTTCAGTTCCTTTTCTGCCCCACATTGTTTGCTGGCCTTCTTATCATTCTTGCAGATACATTCTAGCTTGGGCATTTTGCCGAGCGGCTGGCCGGAGGGTTAAGGAGTTGATGGCACTAACTCTGCTTGCCAGACCATTCAAGGAGGGAGTTCCCATCGAAAGGGATGCCAATGGTGAGGGTTCCAAGAGGTTTTTACCCCCGAGTTTCATTCAAGGGCTCCGGGCCATTGGGATCGAACGTCGGGCTCTCTGGGAATTGACGCATTGAAGGCCTCGCCTACCAGGGCCTTGAGGCCGAATTGGGGACCCCAATCCCCTAGAGCCTGACAAGTTCTAGGAACGCTTCTTGGGTGTGGGGGGGGGGGGGCATCGGTTTTCTCCATTTGCATGTGTCTTGTTTGAGCTTTGGACCCCGTAAATCGTGAGGCTTTCCGTTTGGTTTTCCCCTCAACCCACGAAAGAAGGGTACCCTCGAGAGAAGACACGCCTCCATATGTGGCTAGAAACCATGGTTGTGCCCCATGTCCCATGAATGTGGGTCACAACCAATGCTGGACACCCTCGAGTTGCGAAGGTTCTCTCAGTTCTGCGTGGACGCGAGCGTGGTGCTCGAGGAGTTGCTGGGGCAGCAGGAGCTGCGCTTTGGACTTCGGGGGGGCTGGTCCCACCCGCAAGTGTCCCGGAGGTTCGGAGAGATTGGGCAAAGTCTGTACAAAAGGCCTGGGCTTGAAGTTTGAAATCTGGACAAAAGCCTTTGTCGCTTTCCTTTTTTTTCCCTTTTTTTGTGCATCATGTTAAGTTGGCCAAACCCCTCCCCCCTGCAAAACCTTCATTCATGGGAAGACTCAAATAGACCAAGACAGGGCTCAGTTTGATGAGTTTGATTGGTATTTTGTGGGTGCCCCCTGACTAGTAAGGGTTCATTCGGAGCCCAAGTTCGCAAAGGGTGTTGTGGTTTCATTGGAGCCAATCATCTTGTGACTTGTGAGGCCCGTCCGCTTTCCAAAGGAGCTGCCGGTGCTGTTGCACGGTGCGGGCTGCGGGGGGGTCCACGCGCTGCACGTGGCCATCGCCAGTCACTCCTACCCCGCGCAGGTGGCAAGGAGTCTGAAGCTCTTGGCCGGGGGCCTCAGAGATGTCCGGTACAAGTCACCGCGCTGACCCCGGAAATGAACCAACCCCAGGTTGTGAATAGGGGGGGGCGGATGATCCCCCACTACAGCCAGGGGCAACCCCCCAAATTAGGGTTGAGCAAAACTGAGCTGCGACAAAACGTTCCAACATTCGAAAACCAACAAGGACAAAGTTGGAACCAACAGGGTTTGAGCTGCAACCTCCCGATGCCCGTGGCGATCGGGCGCGCCGCAAATTCCGCCATGGCTCCCTTGCCACATCTTTACCCCAGGCTGAACAAACAGCTGCGAGCAATCCCATCAAACGTTGAGGTCCAAACACCCTTACACCATTCCAAGTCTTCGAGAAAGAGGCAAAGTTAGGAGCCCCCCAGCTACATGCAGTGACAAGGGAAGCTCACATGGGCAAAGGACAATGCTTGTAGCATCTGAAAGGGACCTACCTATTCTTAGTTAAGGCCCACTTGCCCAACTTACTGGACGTGGTTACATGCCCCGGCTTTCCATTCGGTCTCCTCTTACAGCAAACCCAAAAGGCCACCTTCAAAAACGTCACATCCGTGCCTCTTTTGAACTTATTTTGCATCTTGTGGTTCGCTAAGTATGGGCCAGAATCAAGGATTTCAGGCCTGCCTGAAGAGCCCAAACATGCTGCCAAGGGCTGCATGATCACAATTGGGGCTCTACGAGTTCTCAGTGAAGAATGCCCCCTATCCCATCGCCTATGGCATTAGTGGAATCCCCAAAACGGGTTCATTCCCAAGAACCGGAAGATCAGCACCTCGCGTGAAGCAAAACCGGTCGGACGGTTCGAGAGGTGCTGGATGGCTCCGTGGCCAACTTCCGCAGCCTGCCGCCCACGCCCACCGGGTGTCTTTTGGCTGCGTATGTCCCCCCATCGCCCCCCCAGACACAGGACACCCAGCTGGCAATGTTTCCCAACTCAATGCAATTTGCTGGACCTGTTCTGCTAGATCTTCCTCTTGGGGGTGATGTTTGAGGAAGAATCGTAGGGTGCCCTGCAAAATGTGAGTAGTCTGTGCTCCATTTTGGAGGGACATCATGTCTAAGCGAATCGTATTGTCTGACGGTCGCCCATCAGACCGGTACCATCAAAAAGCACACCGCACCCATTTTTCCAGAGGGACCCTTTAAAGGGAACATGGTCGACCCCCTGTCAAGTTCCATATTAATTGGTGGGAGGGCAGTACTTCTCGGCCATTCAGGTATCGCCGTGGATCCCATTGGGAATGATGAGAAGCTGAAGTACATCGACTTACCGGTGTGTGGCTGGATTGCAAAAAAATATGTTTTCAAGACCCTCTTTTCTAGTGTCGAATCCTGAGCAACAAACCCCCCTCAATATTCAGAAGTGTCCCCCTGTCATGAGGGACCCCCTCATACTGATGGGGGGGTTTAGTAATTTAGGGTCGCCTTTGCATCCAACGGAAGCACCTTTCATTCAGTACAAATGGGGTCCCCAGAATCTCTGAAAGTGTCGGGAGAACAGATTGGGATCATGTATTTTCCGAACAGGACCTTGTCTGTGAGCACTGGGGTGTGTTGGGTCTCCAGTAGCTTGTTGTCTCCTTTTCTCACCCATGAAGCATTTGTTTCCCGCTCCAGGCGGTCCTTTAACTTTTCGGCAGTCCCAGATTTCAGGGAACCCTTAATTCTGGAAGGCTCTTTTTCAGGATGGTTGGTTTCAAGGGAAACCACAACTTTTGATACAGCCGCAACACACACACACACACATACACACGATACAGCCCGCACCGCACAACACACCCGCCATCCGCCTTCTCCTCGTTTTCCCCGCGTCGAGGCATTTTGGGCGGGGACGACGAGTGCTGCGGGTACCAGGTGGGTGTGGGTCCAAATTAAGCCACCAGGAGGCCGCAGCTTTTATTTTAGTCCTTGGTTCCAGGTACCAGGGTTCTATTTTGGGTACCCATTTTTGACCCACAGCTATTTGAAGTAAGGAACCCACCAAACTCAAAGATGAACATACACCACGTGTTTTCTGAAGTTTGCCCTTTGAGTCATAACTTGACAGCCAGGTGACGCAGAAGCACTTCACGGTGCTGCAGCGGGGGGCGGAGATGGCGCTGCCAAAGAGCCAGGTCTTGGCCATGGACACGGGCCCGGCCCTAGAAGGCGGTTCAAGAAGAGATCGAGCGAGCCGTGCGGGGCGCGGGGGATGGGGGCCTTTTTCTTGTTCTCTCGCTCTCTCTCTCTCTCGCTTTTTTAGTGTGTTGTTTTTCCTTGCGTTTATTTTTTTTGGGGGCTTAAGTCATTGGCGGTTTGGGTTGGCGGTTTGGATTTGGATTTGAACGCCTGGTTCTTGTGAGTAAACTACCCTGAGCCACCAGGCACCGATCCAAGCCACCAATCAGAGGGAAGCGGAATACGGGAGGGGGGGCTACCTACTTTCCATGAGTGTAAGTTTTTGAAAGGTTTTGGCTACAACTAATGTTCCTGGGTCCCAAGAAGGGGCCACTTGGGTTTTGTCAGCCCCGGATTTCTTTTCCTTTTTATTTGTGTATCAGGGTTGGAAGGGAAGGTTTGCACAGTTCATTGCTCCAGTCTGCCTTTGCCTGTTTTGTTTCTTGGGTGTTTATTGGGACTCCTTCCTCGCTTTTGTGGGCGCCCTAGTGACGCGATGTGGACATACCGGCGACCCCCTCGATATGGGCTTGTCTTTTTTGGTGTTTTTCCTCTTGGTTTTCTTGTGAAAGCATCAGGGACAAGGTGACCCGCAAAAAAGACACGTGGTTAGTCACCGTGGTTGTGACCGATTTACCATGCATGTGTGTTAGAACCAATGCTACCGAGAGCTCCGCTGGAGAAAAATAACATGTGAATGGAGGGGTTTTAAACAGAGATGGGTTTGCGGGTATACAAGAAAGGGGTGTGCTTCCCTAAGACTTGCTGGTTGGCAGGAAATCAACCGGGGTTTTGGGAAGGAACCTCCAACAAGGGATGTGGGCTGAAAGCAGATGGCCCGTTTCCTTTGGGTTTGTCTCCCCTTCACAATTCCCAGCCTGGACATGGTGCCATCCACTTTCACCCTGGTGCTAAGCTGATGGATCCTTTGAAACTTGTTGTCAAGCCGCTGCTAATCCTATGGTCAAGGCCTGCCAAAGGCGCCCTCAACAAAAGACAGCGGGGTAAAGTTAGTTAAGTGGACATTTGTGAAGTAGTGGGAGATGTTTCCACCGGAGGAAGCTTCTAAATTCGAACAGCAGCGGTTCATCAATCCTGTGTTTCCATTACTCCCTTGGACATTCGGAAGCTAAGGCACCCTAGATACCCCCTGGCTGTCCATTGGAGGGAAGCCTTCACTTTTGGAGGGAATAGCCAGGTGCATTTTTTGCTCCGGGGTTGCCTGCTTTCAGCTCATTCGCAGCTTGAAGTGCTGACTTGCCGCCACGGCGCCGACGGATCGCGGTTAAAAAGCCGGCCAGGCGATCGCCTCGGCCCGGCACTCTTCGCCGCAGTGTCCAAGGTGTGGCCCATCTTTGCCTCGGTTTGGCTCACCTTTGCCTATGGTTGCAACTTGGGACTCGGGTTTCTCAAAGTTGATTTCCGCCCCTTCGTCCAACCCAACCACTTTGAGGGTTCCGACCTTTGAGACAAGTCAGACATTAATTTGGAGCCCGTTGGTACCGTTGGGGCGCTGTGCAGGCCTTGGATCCCGTGTTCATGGCATCTTGGCCTTCACAAAGCTCCGCGTCCAGCAGGTTTTTCGAGGCGGGCAATTGGGCGCGGGCGTCACGCGCACACACACACACACACAACAGGCCTTCTGCGGCACGCAACGCAGGGAGTACTGAATCTTTTGTGATGAATCCCACTCGGGAAGTGAGATGTTGTTTTGCAGGGCTTGAGGTGACAGCCATTTCACAGGTCTGTTGATTTGCTTTGAATCTGAGCGCCTTCAGGATGTGCTTGCGGGCGACGAGGATGCCACAGATGCATTGGCACAGAAGTTCACTCCTGAGGCCTGCAACTTGCTTGTGGCCATCGGCCCAATGGCCCACGCAGCCCTGGCGCCCAACCCTCAACCCTTGAGGTTAGCACCATGGTCATTTCTCTGGTGGTGGGGATCCTTAATCCTACTGTGGATGAATGAAATCCATTTCGCACCACCTATGCCAGAAGCCTTGAAATTCGAGTCCCCTGTGAATACCACCCAACGTGATGGTTTCCGCTCTGGACTCTGAACGGTAGTGCGTTGTCTGGATTTCGCAACCATCCACAAGGGATCCATGACCGATTCAATCGGCCAAAGAAAGGGAGTTTTGACCCCCTCGCTCACGGAGTTCATGCACTTTAACTTATTGGGTTTGGGCCATTTTAGTGGCTTAGGTCCAACAAGTTTGGGTACCCTCTTTTTTACTAACCTGGCACCTGACAGGGGTCCCATCCAAGAGAAAAGTGATCTTCCTCCCCACCGGTGCCCACGTGGGAGGGGCGCCTTTGGCCACGTTGGGTTTGCGTGACCTCTCGACCAGGTGCTCTCGGGCCTGTGCCAAGGCGCGCTGGCGCGGGCGCGGGCGCCCGCGGCGCAGCTGCGGCTCTGGGAGCTGCGAGCGGACCGCGGCCGCGAGGGGAGCTGGGCGGAGCACGTGGCGGCGCTCCACCAGTTGGAGCGGCACGGTGCTTCGGACCCGACTTTCTTTTCCTTGGTGGTGGTGGTGGGGGGTTGGACTAGGAAGTGGTTGGGGATGTTCCAGCCCGGCCAATCCAAAAGTGCACTGGTACGTGCCATGAGTGACGGAAGGCCAGTGAACTTTTTGGGGCCTCAGGCTTCTCTGGTGGCCAGAAGGGCTTTCAGGAGTTCGAGGCCGTGCTGTCCCTCCATTGCCAGAAGGACGGATGAGATGGGGCATGTGTCAAGTGGAGCAACTTTTGGTGGATTCCAAAAGGGGGGTTCCGAAAGGAAATTATCTTTGTATTTCCACCCTTTTCTGGCTTTTAGCGTCACCTTGGGGCTTGAGCCCAACGACCGATCGGTCGACATGCTGCATGGGCCCAATCCACCGTCTTGGATCTCCGGGCCATCAGGCGATTTTGCTTGCCGTCACCAGCTATGGCAGGGTCGAGCGGTTTAGAGTCGGTCAACCGGGGCGGCGTTTCAGCGGACATTGACCGAAGACCGCGGGGCAATGTGGAGCTTCAGCAATGAAATTGAGATCGAACTCGACCAAAACATGGTTGTTGTTGGGAAACATGTTACATTTGTGCTTATTGTGGTTTAGTGGGAAATCCCCACTTAACTGCTAAGATTTAAATTTTTGCTCCCCCAACGTTCGCCAAGAAAACGGCTATTAGGATCCAACAAGGGCAAATAGGAGCTGTTGGGCCTTATTAGCTTCTATTTCCCAGGAAAATTCCCTTCCACGGGGGTGGTCAACACACCCATGAGCACCGTGGAGCGTGTTTGCTGCGAGGATCCCGCGCTGGAGGCAGAGCGCCGCGCCGTCCAGGAGATCCTGGACCTGCGGGTCTTGGATGCCCAGGCCACCGGGTCTTGGACCGCGCAGCGGATCATCACCGGAAGCCTGAAAAATGAGCATTTGTTTCTCCAAGTTTGCCCACAAGGAAGCCAGATGGGGATGTTGTTTCCCGAATAAGCAGCCATTTTCCCAGTTCTGCCCACAAGGCAACCAGTGCATATGCAGCCGGTTTGCAAGCTCCATTGCTTTCAGTCAGTGTAGCGTGTCAGAAGGCTTGAGTTGTTCATGGGGATGGGTCAACTTTTCTCAAAGCATCCTTCTTTCCATCCTTCTTTCTCAACATTTTCCATGAACAACTCCTTTCAAAGGCCCATCCTTCTTTCTCAGAAGGTGTTTTAACTTTTCCGTCCTCCTTTCTCAAACCCGAAGAAGGTGTGGGGGGTGCGTCCCGTCCACAAAGGCTCGAATTTCCCAGGTGGCGAAGGCGGAGAAGCAGCCGGGGGCGCACGGGGTGACGCTGAGGCAATGCTACGAGGCTCCCTTTTCTTTTTTTTGATGGGGGGGGGGGGGGACCCCCTAAGTTTGGTGGATTTCCCCTTGGCAGCCACAAGACAACATCAGACCCATGGACGGGTGCCTGCAGGTCATTGAGTCGTCCTTGGCGGAGTGGCTGTCAGAGGAGTGAGCTGGTGTGGTTTTGTTCTTTGCTTTGCAGCCTGAAGCAAGACGTCCCAAGTCTCAAAGGACGCTGCAGAATCACTTGCAGGCAGTGGGCAACCCGCCAAAAAAAAGCGACGGCAACCCGCCAACAAAAGCGAAAACATGGTTCCCTGCACGCTGCAGATCAGGGTCCCGGCAGCATGATCAAGCCACCTGACCTACCACTTTAAAGGCAGCGAACAAGGAGATTGTCTAAACATGTTTAAACAGGGGTGGTTTTGAATCGGACATGTTTGAGCACGTTTGCCCAACCCATCTTTCCCATGGCTGCTCTCGAGTCAGGACAAGTGGCGAGAGCTCCTTGCAGCCGCCCAGAAGGAGGATGGCCCCCCGGTGCGCATCGCGCGGGGTGTGCCTGCTGGCTGCAGTGCATGTGGAGTGCTGGGGGGGGGGGGGAACCGGGGGTTGCAGAGATTTCGCAGGTCACCAGCTAGCATTAATTGAAACGGGTAGTAAAAACCCTGGATTTGTATATCCCTCCCCTTTTGGAGGAGGGGGACACCCCCCGAGTAATCAGCCAGGGTTTCTTCATCCGGGGTCAGCGTTATCAGCTTGATATTTGGTATGGGGGAGTTGCAGACTTTGTCGCGCATGCCTCCGGCACCTCTGAGGATCCGGGCTGCTAGTGATGACCTCACCGGCCGCCAAGCGCGCAGTTTGGGCGTAGACTCCGCCACGCTCGGGGCTGTCTATGGCCACTTCTGCAGCGTGGCAAGCTGCCGTGGCAGAAGCAAAGGTCTGGCAGGTGGTTGAGTTGGGCGAAGGTGGGGAGGTGGTCAAGTGGGCAGGCGGGAATGCAGGGGGCGAGTGCGCAGATGGAGAGAAGGTTGCCTGTTTTAAGGCAGCGTGGACCCCTTTTTGGCGAGCCGGTCTGCACACCTTCAGGAGCTGCGGGGCCGAACCCAGTGAGTGCGACCATCGGTTTTGAGAGTCATGACTGAGTCAGAACCTTCAGGAGCAGATCATGCAGCTTTCGAAGAAGCTCACCGCAGAGTTTCCGCCGCAGTCCCAGGAGCCAGTCTTCGTTCTCCAGGCACGTCAGATCCCATCAGGACTCCTGCGGCGCAGCCTGCACTGGCGGCGCAGCCGCAAAAGGCCAGTCAGCTGCACGCGTCTCACTGGCGAACTGCCTGCCTGGATGCCGGGAGGCGCCCAAATCGGGGTACAAGGAGCAGTCTGAGGTGGAGGCCGTGTCAAGTGAGCCAAATTGCATGCCAGCTGGGGCGTTTCTGGAGTGTGCCAGGTTCTAGTGCACATTGACCGAGCTGCTCGGCAGACAGATGTCGTAAGCCGCCAAACAGTTTGCCGAGCCATTTGTGCAGTCAGTGTGCTCTGCACTCAGGACTTGAACCTGTTCAGCAAGTTCAAGCTCCCTGGCGCCTTGGCTTCTGAAAACATGACGGTTGATGCCAAATGAGGGGAAGACGGGGGCCTTGTTATTTTGCCTGCTTTGGGCTTGCTTTACTTGCAGCAGCGAGGAAAATGAACGGTTGGGGATACTGGTTGCTTGCCTCTTGGCTTCCGAAGACCTACCTACTTACCATAGTTGTAAGCCTGTGTTTGCGAGTCAGGTGCTTGTTATGATTAAACAAACCCCTGACATTCTAATCTAACAAGGGGGCTGTGGCGCAATGGCAGCGCACCTTGCACCCGCATTGTGGGGTGGGGGAGGTTATAGGTTCAAGTCCTATCAGTCCTACTAAACTTGTTGGCTAATTACACAGCTTCCCTTGATGATGCCTAGTCAAAAGATACGCCAAGACAATCAGACATGGATTTCCCCCCATACAAATAAACCTTCCGGAAACAAAGCTAATAACGATTGGGTCACTTCCTGGAAGCCTGATGTGGGTTAAAATCAATTCGGATCTGGCAAACGGGTTCTGATCGAGCGCTCATCCCCCGCGTAGCATCCGAGTTTTCGGAACCCATTTGTAGCCCATTCAACGGGTTATCCAGTGTGCACCCCCCAAAACAATGGTTGACCCAATTTAGATGATGACGATCCTTAGGTAAGTAATGGTTCTATTCACCCCCATGGTTTTAATGGTGGTTTGACCCGGGGGTCAGGCCTCAGGTGCAACCAATGCGCCTTCGAGTCCCCAGGTGGCTCCACAGGGACCGCGGTGAAGGAGAAAGTCGCCAGCTTCAACGCGATGGGCGCGGCGGCCGCTGGGCGGGCGCGCAAAGGCCCAGCAGGTCAAAGCGGACCCCCAAATTGTGGTCGTCTGCTTGGTTTCCCGTCATCCCAAGATGAGTGCCAGGCTTCTTTCTCGGCCAGTGGGGTGACGGTTCATGAATTCGCAGGTGAGATCAAAGGGGGGCCATCTTTGGAGGTCTGAGTTTAAGGCGCAGCCATGTTCGTGACTGCTGCTTGGGCTTCTGGTTCCCCGTTTCTGGCCGAACTGGGCTGAGGTTTTCCAGTTGTGCCTGCCGAGCGGACGCGCGCTGGGTGATAAGGAGACGCCAACATGCGCCGAGGTGGCGTTTCGTACTGGTGGTTTTGATTGGTGGTTTGGACCTCCGGTTCTTGTAGAGGGTACGCGGGAAACCAGCTCTAACCCCAAACCGCCAATCCAAACCACCAATTGGTGGGAAGCTGAATGGTGCGCGGAGTGCGAAGGACCTGGTCACTGACGGGATGGAGCTGGACGTGAGGGATGGTTGAAGCGGTCGAGACCGCCAGTTTTCGAGCCGGCCAAAGGATGCATCGGCTCCCTGAGCGTGCGCTTTCCCCGCGTGTGCTGGGCCAATGATGCCAACGGCTCGCGGGGGAAAGGCTGCGCAGGATGCACAACCTGCCCTGCCCCCCAAAGAAGGGTGGAGCACTTGCTAACGAGAGCTGGTGCGTGAGTGGATTGATTGACGCCCCCCAGATGTTTTCCAGTCTTCTTGGGCTGTTCAAAGTCAATCCATGATCCTCACCTTGTGAAGAATCAGATCGGCCACCCTTTGTTGAACAGCCCAGTCTTCGGAGGCCACCCGAAAAGGCGGCAGACGACGCATGCGACGCGATGCTTTTTTGCGTTCGGCTGGCCTGAGGCGCCTCCTGTTGAGCCGAATCCACAGTTGGCCGGCTGCCCAGATTCGAAGCGGTGAGGGGGGCAGAAATCAAACGCAAGCTGCATGGTGGTGCCGGGTCAAGCTTTGGCCAGAGAAAGACCAGAAAGGCAACCGCTTACTTTCGTGAGGGCCCCTATGAAAGAGTCATGGCCACAACTTACAAGTTGGCCCATGCCACATTTGAGGCCCATGCTGCGAGCGGACCCCAAGTGTCCAGAGCATGGCGCCTCAGAGCTGCGCCCAAAGCCTCACTTGGTCAGGTTCGGTGTGGATGGACAAAATCCACTTCTCATCAGGTGCTTTTTTTTCTGCTCGGTTGTCCATCAGGGTGGGGGCGATGTGGACCTTGATGGCCAATTTGGGCCGAATCGGAAGTCCATGTGCGTTTTGAGCTGCCACTCAAATGCTTTGCTCAGCGACAGTGGTGAAAGGTTGCAAGGAACAACCTAAGAACCCCTCATATGGTTCTGAGATTCATTGGTTTCCTCCCCACTTGTTAGCTGTCAACGCGCAGTCAGACCGAGGCTGGCACGCGCGCTGGAACTGCCGCCAGTTCATCCACTGTTGGAGCCATTGGCTCCATAGCAGGGGAAAGGTCCTTGGCTGTGCGGGTGGGAAAGTATAGCGTGAAAACAGAAGGGTTCTTTGGAAGCGAGAAGGGCTTGTCGGGTGGCGTGCTCCAGAAGCCATGCCTGCACGCAACGGAAGGCCATTGAGGAAGTCATCTTGAGCAGCTGCTGCGGATCGAATGAGTATTATCGAATGGACGAGAAAGCGAGAAGGCGAGAAAACGAGGCTTGCTTGCTTGCTTGTTTGTTTGTTGGTTGGTTCCTTAGAGCCCGCGGCCCGGGCAGGAACATCGCAACCTTTAAGCGCAAGCGTATGCCAAGTGCACCCGCTTTGGCTGGTAAATTGCAACATTTGTCTACAAAAGTCGCAGGAGCAGTGCGCTCCCTTGCAAAATCACAACTTGCGCAAAGGAGCGCGGAGCACTGGCGGAGAGCGACAGGCTTGCACAGAGCAACTTGCGCATCAAAGACACTGGCGCAGAGACACTTGTGCAGGAGTAGCTCGCACAGAGATATGCTGCCTGAGCTACCGGCGGAGGGCAACTTGCATAGGACCACTGCGCAGGCAGCTTCCGGGCGCAGTCTACTTGCAAACCCGCGCTTCTTCAGACTATTTAGGAGTAGGAACGCTCACGTTTATGGGGGGCCTTGTTATCATCGCGGTGGGAGGATTGGGGGCTTGTCAGAACGTGGCGACGGCATGCTTTCGCGGCAATCATCCTGGCAAAGACGACATGCTCTTGCCAATGCATTGGGTGTGGCCCAACGAAATGACAAGAGGGCCCGTCAGGCTTGTAAAGGTAAGTCGGTGCTCGCAATATACACACGACGTTGTCGATAGCAACACAAAAGAATGGCAACGCTCGGTCAGCCCTGTTTCGCCAGTCAAAGCTGCTGTGGCATGTTCGTCCCTAAAAAAAATAACTTGAGCATTGAGCCAAGTCACAAATGTTTGACATGCAACTCTGAGCTCCGCAGTCACGCGCAACTCAAAACAAACCAAGTGACCATCATAACATGACCGACAAAGAGCTCCTAGCTCGGGAATTCACCGCTGTTTGTTTGTTTGTTTGTTTGTGTGGTTGTTTGGAGGGCGCCCTGCTTAAATGGAAGCCAAAGAACAAAGCTTTTCAAAGGGTGAACAGCCCCTTTGAGCTTCGCCCAGTACGAGAGCTTGCAGATGACCAACTCCTTGGTGGCCCATGCCGGCCGCCCAGTTCCGGCCAAGCTATCCCCAGCCGCGATTTTTTTCTCCGCTCAGGCGGCGAGTTTGCCGGGAGCGGAAATGCCAGGAGACTGCACGTGGGAGTTCGTCAAAACTGCGGATGGACGAAATCCATTTTGCACCATGATGCAACCATGGGGAGCCTTTGTCGGTGATGGGAATCATCAGAAGCCAGGGCTTCTTAGGAGTCCAGAAACACAGCAAACATGTCGGGGTCCCCCCAAAACTAGCAGCGGAGTTGGGTCATGTTCCTGGTGGTGCATGCGTTGAGACCGCGCCGCAGTCTCAACGCCCACGATGCAAACGCCACTGGCGAATGTGTCAGCCTGGAACTTGGCACTTGGAATATGCAGGATATAGAGCAGCTTACAGGCTCGCCTGGACTTTCGGGGTGGCACATATTGTTTGATGCAAGCAGCTTCCACCTGGCCCTAACGGAAATCTGCCCAGATCAGCGAAATCCGGAAAGCCATGCGCCTGCGGCCCAAGCCTGCCATGTCTCAGGGTGTGTGCCTTTTCTGCTTTTTGGTTCACTATCCGCGTTTTGGTCCAGAAAGCCAAAAGGGAACATCACTTATTTGTTTGGGGACCCTTGCGTGTGACACGCGCACACACACAAACTCTAGGGTTGTCCGGAGTCCGAAGTTAAGATATTTGATCCAGGGGTTGTAGGCGGGTGGTATGGAGTAGTGCGATGTACGTAAGCCCTAGCCGGACGAAAGTTGGGGGCCGGCGCAATTCCCCGGGTCCCGCAAGCTGACCGGGCTCACCGCTGACCCGTGGAAACATCTCAAAGCCGTCCGGTGATCCAGGGGTCAGCGTTCCAGGTTTGGAGCCTTTCTGGTACTGCCGGTATCTGAAGAAGACGAGAAAGGCGGGAGCTTAGCTGCAGGGCTTCGCCATGGAAGAAGGTCAACGGAATGGCCCCACAAGAGTATCCCGTATGGCTTCCATTCAGGGAATCCACGGGTTCATGTCCAAAACCTTCTTGTTGATTTCCTGACCAGCAAAGAAGGAGAGAGGGCTTCTTCCTTGCCAGTGTCACGACATCAAGAAGTACAAATGGGCGAGCAGCCCCCAAGGCGCGCCAGGTTGATTGCCACTGCAAACTTGCTTGTTATTGGGCTGGGAATTTCCGACCCTTCTCCTCGCAGCCGGCTTCCGGGCCTTGCGCCCTATGGTTTCCCTCACCAAACGAGTTTCAAGGGCCTGGAATACCCACCATTACCCACCCGTTAGACTCTGAAAAGGGTCCTCTACCACGCTTCCCTTGAGGCCTTGCGAGAGGACTCCGCTGTCTTTTGCCCGGGGGCTTGACGCTGTGGGTGGATGCCTTGGACGCCATGCCGTGCAGAGGCCTCTCCCCACGGACCTGCCGCTGCCCGGGTGGCTGGCGCGATCTCTGCAGGCGCGATCTCAAGCCTGGTTGGCTTCCTTTTTTTTCCTTTTTCTTTTTCTCTCTTTTCGGGGTTTCTTGAAGGGACCCCCAAAATCGCTGCCGGTCATATTGAAAAAGGATCCCGGGTTCGGCTACAGCCAAAATACGACACGATCCAAAGCTGCGTTTTCTGCGAGGTGCCGGAGGAGACGAAGATGACCACCGTGGCGCGCATGACCGGGGCGGGGGATGATCCGGTGAGCAAGGACGCGCCGGTCAAGGCTTAGGAGGGAAGGAGCCGCTCAAACCAATGTCCTCCAAACAAAGAAGCGGGTTCCACGCGTTTTCTCCTTCTCACCGGAAAGAGCGTCCGGGCAGATTCCATCTTCGGACGGTGCCTTGTGGAAGCTGATGCAAAGTCGTTGCCGTCCATTGGCGAGGATGATGTCGCGGGCATTGCGGAGTCCCAGCCGGTGCCCGCCTCAGTGGCCGAAGCGGCCCTCAATGCGACGTCGCATCTGGTGCTTTGAGGTCGTGCTGGTGATGCAGTGCTGCTCCCACGATGCGCCGTACGGCGAGTACTTTCGCATTGAGGACTGCGGATGATCCTTCGGTGCTTCCGCGTGGCGCGTAGGCATCTTCAGGTGTCTGTTGCAGCTGTTGCGAAGCAAAGGTGTCTGAGCGTTGCAGTTCGAACTTTGTGGTAAATGGTTGTTTTTGAGTTCCTCTTCAACCACCATCTGGAGCAGTCCACCCAGCTAAGAGGCCACCTGGATGTTTCAGTAAGGATGCATCAGAAACGCGTTGAAATCCAGAAATCATGTGTCTCTGTGTGTTTGTGTGTGTCAGGCAAAAGAACCCACCCCACACCAGTTCTTTCGATCCTAAGTTGCTGGCTCCCACTGGGATTGACGCAAGCGTAAGCCTTGGGTTTTGGCCAATAGGAGACCCTGCATTTCTCCAGGGCTGCCAAGGGCACTGATCTCAAGCGCTGGGTCTCCGTGCTTTGGGTGAAGGCGCGGAGAAAGGCCGCGGGGTGTCTCAGAATGGATCAAGGCTGCTGGTGTTCGTGTTGGTTTCCCTGTCAGCCGCCCTTTCCGCTTCAACAAGCACAAGCCCAGATGGATGCAAACCGCCGCAACTCTCCCTGGTTGTGTTCCACATCTGAGGGACTTCCGCACAGGCGTGTGTGCGGATGTTGACTCCCATTTGTGTACCTACTGGCCAAGACGAATCCAAGCCACTTTGCTTTTTCCTTTTTGCCTAAGCGTGCACTCCGGGATGTGCGGAACCGTCGCATGTTGGACAGGGGCGGGGGGGGTCCGCGTCCCGCGACTCGCGACTCGTCGCCAGTCGCTGCCCTGGACGCTGGCGGTGCTGAAAGGCATCATCGAGTCGCAGGCCATGGCGGACTCCCAGAAGGCGGCAGTCTGTCGATGGCCATGGGCAGGTTTTCCATTTAGTGGGCAGTATCATCTTTTGGGGTTCACTACTGGTCATCCCATTTGTTTTGATCATCTAATTGGGGGGAAACCCTGAAATGGCCGCGGGTATATACCCTTTGTTGCCTGGACCGCCAAAAAGGCGGTTTACGAGTTTTTCCGAGCAAAGAACAGCGCCGAAGCCGTCCACACCGCCCAGCTGGGGCCGTTCCGCCTTCTGAGGCATCGCCCCTCCAACAAAAAATAGTGGACCGTCCGTGGGTATTGCCGAGTTTTTTTTCCCCCGGGCCTTGTCCATGCGGATGGTTGCTGTCCATTTGACGCGGCAAGATGAGGGGACGCTGAAACTCTTTGGCCTTTAGACGCACAGGACACAGCTCCCATCGTTCACTCGAGTTCCCTGGCTTGCACTGCTTGGGTTTGGGCAAACATTTCGGGGCAAGCAGCAAGCCTGGCCTTTGGTTGACACGTCTCAGGAAGTGAGTTGTTCATTCCTCCAGTGTTGGCAAGTCTTCGTTTTTCTCCGTGTTCATCTTTAGTAGGTGGCTGCAAAAAGCATCAAGTTCTTGCCACCATACCAAGGGTTGTACAGATTCTTGTGTGTTTACCTTGACGGTTTTTGTTTGAACCGGAAGGGAGAAGAGAGCTGGCCAGGAGCACGCGGAGGTGGTGAAGGCGATCCAAGAGGCGCGCACTTGGATTTCGGCGGCCCGGGCGCGGGACTTTTCTGCGGCCGAATTTTGACGGCCTCGTTCAGTCGGTGCCCTTTGCTCTAGGGGTACCTTCCATTTCCATTCTGAACCCAGGGATCCGGATCTTTCTAGAAAACCTCCGGAATCCCAGGGAAAACGGCTGGCCTTTGAAAAGGACGATGGTTGAAAAGAGTGGGGAATCAACCCGTAGATGTGCGGGTGGATGCTAAAGGGAAACCCTAAAGGAGGCCGGACATGTTTGGGGGGTCCCTATTTGGACAGATAACCCTGATAGAGTGTCTGGGGAGGTCTTTTGCACTTGCGTGGGGGTGGTGGGCAAAACCTTGGTAGTATAGTCGGCCAAATGCGGGGGTTGGCATCACAGAAACGAACCAATGTTGACCCCTGTCGATCAACCCCAGTTTATTCATTCGGGGGTGGGGGAAAACTCCTCCAAAAGTGATGATTCCCCACTAATTAAGCCTGGGGTATGAATCAACTAAGTTTGATTAATATGGGGTCAACGTTAGTTTCCAGAACCATTGGACCAGTTCCCTTGCGCCGAGGCTGTGGAGGAGGTGAGGGGCCGCTAAGCTGGAGTGTTTCTGGCTTGTTTCTGTTTTCCGCTTCCTTAGGGGAGCCTGCCTGTAGGCAACCAGCCAGAAGCAGCCGGGCAATTTGGCATGTTTAGCAAGGTGTTTCTCAAATAGGGCCCTAAGACGGTTGGTTTGTTGTTGGTTTCCCTTGGAATGCTGAGCAGCAGGGGCCACCATTTTGAGAAACTCCCAGTTGTGCTTTGTGTTCGCGACTGCCATGTACAATAAGGGCCGGCTGCTAAGGCAGATGCAACGAGTTGAGCCAATGCAAAAGATGGAATGCTTCGGCTGAAGGAAAACTAATGAAGGACGGCGCCGCGCTCCGACCTCCAATTGAACCAACGCTGGCACATGCAAGTTGGTTGGGCATTCCAGCTTTAAAGTTGTCACGGCCACGCTTTTTCACGTCACACCGTTGCACGAGTGGTCGAGCTTGCAAGCCCAAAGAACACACTCACCGTCCATGGACAGCCTTTCACATTGGAGAGGTCTCCATTGCAACTCAAATCCCAGACCTGCAATCTTGAACCTGCGCTGCTTCTCCCTGTCGGCGATGGATGGCATGGAAGCTGACTTGGCATTGGCTACTGCTGCCCGTTGTCAGCGCTTACCACGCTGATGATCACAGCTGCGGTTGGACTGACAAGCAGGCAAGGCTGCATCCAAGCTGCGGCAATTTACTTACGCAGAAAATCCTCAGCCCTGTGGAGGAGTTTAAGACCTTCTTGTAAATGGGTGCTTGCTTGCTCGCTGCCTTGTTTGCAGGTGCTCTGGCAGCGCCTGCGCCGCACTGCTGACTCTGTGCTGGCGGGGCGCACGTGGACTCCGGGTCAGGACTGGGCCTGGCAGATCTCTCGGGACCTGGCCAACTGCCCCTTCGGGGTGCACGTCCTGCAGCTGCTGGACTTGGATGCGGCCGGCCCGGAGGCGGCCAGGAGCCTGGACCTGGGCCGGTCCAAGGCTGCGGGCTTCGGTTTGTACAACTTGGTGACTTGGCTGAATCTGGCGCTCACGGGGTGGCCCACCTTCGGCCTGCTGCACCGGCTCTGCCGCGCCCGTTTCGGCCTGGCGGACCGCTGTGTCGCCGGGGCCCGCGCTCCGAAGCCGGCAGTGGCCGGGGTGGTGGTGGCCGCAGCTGCGGCCCGGCGCCTGGAGCGGAACGCCTCGGACGCGCAGGTGCTGCAGCAGCTCTCACAACCCTTGGAGCACCTGAAGGAACTCTGGCTGGCGCGGTGGCGCTATGCTCACATCGCGCCGGCCCACAACCCCGTGACTTTGTGGCTGGGACTCGACCAGGAGGAGCCTTGCTGCGGCATGTGGACGGAGCTGGAGGCCTTGCAAAAGATGCTGCGCAGGCGCTTCGAGCTGCCCTGCGCCAGTGCCCACCGGCGCTTAGATGGGGCTGTTTGCCCCGGGTGCCGTTTGGCGGCGCAAGGCTTCTGGCTTGAAGACCGGCGTGTGGCGGATGAGTCCTTGGCGCAGCTGCTGGAAGGACTTCCCCCCGCTGGGGTGCTGCAGCCTGGAATTGGCGCTGGGTCTTTTGCAGTGGCCACTGTGCTCACCTCGGAGGACTTATTCCGCAGCATACGCCATGACGGCCAGGGCGTCTCCGGAGACGAGGACCTGGCCGATGCCACCGCCATCGTGCTGACCTATGTTGACGCCCTGCGGACCTTGGCGCACTCCATCCGCGCCGCAGCTGCGGCCGACGAGGTCCAAAGGCGTCTCCTCGTGCTGCTGTCGCTCCGAGCGGGGGAGGCCATGCCAGATGAGGCGCAAGAGGCGCTTCGTGCCATGGAGCTGCAGGGTCTCATCAGCGTGGTGCACCTGGCTCCGCCGCCGCAGCACCTGTGGCCGCGCGCCTGGGGCAAGCTGCAGCTGTGGAAGCTGGAGTTTGACCTGGTCCTATACCTTGATGGTGACATCCTGGTGCTCGGCAGCCTGGAACCGCTGTTTCAGGCGGCGGTGAAGGCTCCCTTGGACTTTGCGGCCTCCCTGACACGGTCCATGATGGCTTTCAACGCAGGGGTGATGCTCGTGAGGCCTTCAATGCGCATTTTCGAAGACTTGAAGAAATCTTTGGAGGAGCTCCCGCAGTGGCAGGGCATCTCTCGCTGGACGGGGCGGCCTTGGTGGAACGCTCCTCCCAATAACTCCGCAGATTTCGGATCGTATGGCGACCAGGACCATCTGAACGAATGGGTGGCCACCCACTTTGCATTCCACGGGGAGTTGGTCTTAGACGCGTCCGCCTCGTGCGTACGGCAGCCTTGGCAGGCGCCGTATGAGGCGACTCGCGGCAACGAGCCCCAGCAAGCGCTGGGCAGCTTTTGCTCGCTGCCCATGGCCTTCAACTTCTGCGCCACCGCCACGTGTCTCCAGCAGTTGGCCTCCGGGGAGCATGGCTTTGCCCAAGAGGCCTTGCGCAAAGCAGCCGGCAGGTCTGAGCCGGAAGCGCTCTCGCGGCTGCAGGAGTGGGGGTTCATGGGCTCGAGTCGAGAGGAACTAAAAGGCTTTACCCCTCTTTCCGGCAACGGAAGTGGCCCCCGAAAGCAAAGTCATTAGCCTGCCTAGAGGGAGGGCTCTGGAAACCGCAAGTCCGCTTCCGCTTATGATCAAAATCGATGGGAAGTGCACACACAAACGCTATATGTGAGTCGCATATCCGGCTTTTCTTTTTGCCAGTGTAGGCTGTTCGCATGTCGACCTTTCAGGTGCTGCACTGGCCGGGCGCTTTGCGGAAGCCCTGGCAGCGCTGCAGCGCGGCGGTCCGCTCGCGCCTGGACCGCCTTTGGTGGCGCTCCTTCGCCGCGGCCTGCGCGGAGGCGCCACAGGCGGCGCCCTGCCGCGTGCGCTGCTTCGACTGAGGCGGGGCGCCACGGCGCGGAGTTTCGCGCGGATGGCGCGGGTTCGCGGAGGCAAGCGCCGTCATCCACTCACCTGGTCCTGCCCACTTCAGCCGGCTGAGTCCGGAAGCTGGAGGCGCAAAGTTCGCGCCAGGCGTGGTTTGACGAGAGGCGTGGCGCGAGAGGCGTGGCGCGAGAGGCGTGGCGCGAGAGGCGTGGCGCGAGAGTTGCGCCTGGGGATGGACGGGATTGCACCATTCAAGCGCATCGGCTCTTGGCGAAGCTGCGCACGGCTGAGGGACCAATCGGTCGGAGTTTGTGCGGCACCTCGAAGCATTGACACTGCGTGGTCCAGGTGTTTTTGAAGTTTGAAGTTTCAGAGTTGGCCTTCGCAGAACAGCGCTGGATGCAGCACAGCCATTTCATGAGTGACGGCGTGCTCTGATGACTCGCCGACATGTGACTTGCCCCAACCTGACGAGGACCAAGGGGAGCCTGTGGCAACCAAGCTGAGTGGTGTAAGAGAAGCACCCTGCCCCCTACAGTGTTTTCTCAATGTCAGCATCCCAGATTCACGCCCATTGCGTCGAAACTGGGTCACATGCCAGGGAAGCAAGCAAACAAGCAAGGCACACACAGGGAAACAAGCGCAGGAACAAAGATGTAAGCAGCAGGCCCACATGAGGTCCAGGTGCTTGTGCCATGGTCTGTGTGGCCTCGCCCGGAGGCAGGACAGTTTTTGGATGTCCAATCCAAGCCTTGACTCATTTGGAAGGCCTGCGGTTCAGAGAAAACAGCAGCAACTTCGCCAGCGCACGCCCAATCTCCACTCGGGCCCCTGCAAGGCCAGAGCCGATGCCAGGCGGGTGCGGAGGTTCAGGTACCCACTGCGAGCGTTGTTCCGAAGCGGTGGTTCAGAGGTCTGAAGTCGCCGTTCGCTTTCCTTGTCAAGTAAAATGTGTGTAGGAAGTGGCAGTGAACTCTGTTAAGCTCAGGTCAGCGGCTTGCATCACCTATCCAGCGGGACATATAGCTCGGTCGGACCTGCCGGTGCGGCCAGGATGCCTTGTCGGACAAGAGGCTGCTGGACGCCTGTCTTTTGTCGCCCTGTAGGCGCAGGGCCCGGCCGGGCATGAAGGATTGCGGTGGGCCGTGGCGCGGGGGTCTCTACATGTCCCTTTCAGCTGGTGCAAGCAGCACCTGGGCCACGTCTAGACGAGCTTCCTATTAGTGGGGTGATGCTTCAGGCAGAATTCAATTTGTCCACACCCCCTATTCAGGTAATTGACCTCCGGACTAATCCAAACAACGAGGTAGAGGAGCTGACCATTCAACCCCAGAAAGACAACTTGGCCGTGCTCGTTTCGCGCCAGGCTGAGTGGCCGGCCGGCCTCCCCTCCTCGCCGGCAACTCGGAAGCCCTCGGATGCCCGTGATGAGTTCCCAGCGCAAGTGGATTGGAAGGTTGCAATATCCATTTCGCACTACTTTGAAACAATCATTGTTTTTGTTGGCATTTGCAGGGGAATCATTCCATGGTGTCTTAGGTGGTGCGAAATGGATTTCGTCCATCCACAATATGGGCTGCTCGTCGTCTGCTCCTGCTCCTGTTCCTCCCCTTGCCGCCCTTTTCTCTGGCACCTTGCGTCTTCATCTCCGGGCGCTCCCACTGTTGCTTCTATATTGATTGAGGCAAACGCGGCAATAGCAAGGCCAGGACATGTATTCATAGTCTTGTCACAATCCGTTGAGGGCTCCTGCCTTTAGCTGTGTGTTGGCAGACAGCTTCACGACCCACCTCTGTGCACTGCGGAATTTGTGGGAGGCGGTGTCGGTGTATGTCCTGCTCGCTAAAAAATGAGATGACGTGGTCGCGAGTTGGGAGGCCAGCGGCGACCCGTGCAGAGCTGCCGGCAGAATGGTGCTGCCCCCGGTTCAATACCGTGAGTGAATGACAGAACGTGGGGTGGGCCATGCCCATCCAAGGATCAAGCTCTACCAGACGTCCAGCAATCCAAAATGCGGGTGGCTCTGATCTCAGCAAGTTGGCAAGCTGTCGCTTGAATCGAAGATGCAGCCGGGGTGCAAAGGTCGTCGCAGCCGGATCGTGCTGCTCGCCCTCACGTGCACAGCTGGCAAGGCAGGGAATTGCCCTTGGAGGGTCTCCCCCAGACCCTCGCCCCCAAGGAACCATGGTTTTGGCACACTGGTCATATTGCAGTCCGACACGAGCCATGCCAAGAGATTGCCATCCCGAGGCCTATCTCCGAAGCCAAAGTCACAGGCGCGGCTGGCACTTTTGCATCCCAGGCGTGACCCATGGCCATGGCAAGTGGATCATGGATCCCTCGACCCATCCCTCTGGTCCTCTTCAGCTTCTTTGCGCGTGCCAATGGTGGGAAGCGCTTGCCGTGATCTGTGGCCTTCGGATGTCCAAGGCCTCACCTTGGAGCGAGGTGAAGCGGACATCGACCAGGCAGGGGCTGCCCTGCGTCCGGTTGAACTTTTCCTTAAAATTTTTGCCGAGGCGAGAGGTCCTTTTTACATCTGAAATCAAAAAGGTATATAGGGCGGCTCGTAGTGATGGCGTCTTTGAAATGACCGAGCTATGCCAAAACTCGGCTGGATGTGCCATCTTATCCACTAGAAACTCAGATGCCATCAATACGAACTCCCCTACGTGTCCGCCATTCGGAGTCAATTCTGTTGACATACCCTGCCGCTGTTTGACCGGGACTCGTTGCAATACGTGTGGTGCATCGGCCCAGGCGGAGCAGTCCCGGCCTTTTCCAAAGCGCGGAAGAGGCGGGCAGGGCCACTTAAAGGGGCGGGGATAAGAAACCTTGGCTAGATGCCGGTAAAGGGACTTGCAAGCATGGCTTTTGCAGGGAACCAATTTTGGAGCGGATGAACACCCATGTGCCACCTATGTTGATGTTCACCATGGTACAGGGTTTTGACCCACAGCCATGTGACCAACTGGATGCCAAGCACCGTGCCCCTCTGCGCGGCATTAGACGTGAGGTGGAAGCTCAGCTGAACGCATGGCGTGCCAAAGTGCTGCGCAGCTGCAACCCACGGCAGAGGCAGGAGCCGATGAGCCGATGAGCCGATGAGCCGATGGGCCGATGGGCTGGTGGGCTAGGCAGACCTCTTTGGTGGAGTTTGTCGACCAGGCCCGGGCAGGACTCCTTTCGGTTGAGGGCTTGCAACTTGGCCTAGGTCATGTCCGTCTGCAAAAGTGAGGCAGAAGGCCTGGAAGGGAACGGCCAGCATAGAGTGCAAATGCAATCTTGCTGCGTCAGGGGGCCTCGTGGAGACGCTGAAGCTCGAGACTGTTGGCGACCCAGGCAAGGAGTGGGTACTGTTCCTTCGTCCTGCACAAATGAGCTCTGCTGGAAGCGTGCAGGCACATCGGGCCCAAGGCTGGCCGAGGATGGCGTTTGGCTTTTTGGAGTTGCTGCAAGTGTCAGGCATGAGGTGCCGCCGGAGGCCAGACAACACTTGCCTGGATGGGCGGGGTGGCAGGCTGCAATGTTTGCGGAAAGCAGAGACTAGTGACTGTGGTGACCGGTTGGCAGTCAGTTGTGCTGGGGCGATGCGTTCCCTCCGTACTGCAATGCTGAAGACTTGGATGAGGGTCTTTTAGGAGACGGGGAAAGGCAGGGTCCAACTGGGCACTGTGTGCGAAGCGCATCATGCATGAAGGTCCTTTCCCGGGAAAAGAGCGACGAGGTGCAGCATGGGCTGCCAGCACATGCTAATGTGGGGTGTGGGGTCCTGTGTCCGTCCGTGCGTTAGGCTGAGCACTTGTCTTGTTTTGTTAAAGCACAGCATGGAGCGAGGCATGGTATCAGACCTATTTTGTGCCAAGTCTTTGCAGCTTTTGCTGCAGTTGCGACTTGCCGCGCAGCCACTTCGCTCAAGCGGCTAAGAAGGGGGGAGCTTGGCAAGTCCGCGGTTGAGAACTTTCCCGCGTCACCACGGCTCCACATTTTATCCAGAGTCAATCTCACCGTGGCTTCGTGAGCCGATGCTCTTCGTCCACCAAGCCCCACGAATGTGGCAGGACCAGAAGGGCGCCACCACCGCGTTGCGCGCCAGCGACCGCCCCAGCCGGAAAAGAACCACCAGCGCCACCCACGGGCGGCGGCCCAGCAGCGCTGTGGGCGGGGAACCTCGCAGAAGCGAGCGGTCGCGGCCAGGCTCTGCGTCCTCCAGCAACGGGCGCTTCGTCGGAAGCGTGCTGCGCACGTCCTCGCCCCCGGGCAGTGCTCGCTCGCAGACGCCGGTGCTCCTTTGTCAAGGTTTGGACTCATCAAGGATCATTTGTCCAGGTTTGCCTAACTTTACCCTTTAAATCACAAATGTTGACCCCATATGAATCAACCCCAGTTGATTCATAGGGGGGTGTTCCCCGAAAAACATGTCGAAGATACATTTGCAGCGTGGGTTGATTGACCAAGGCTGGTGGCCAGCGATGGTGGCCAGATGCACTTCAAGATCTCCTCGAACCGCGCGTCGCCCAACCGGCCGCGGACGCCCTCCAGGAGGACTCCCAGCAGCACCTCGAAGGACGGCAAGGAGGTCCCCAGCCAGCGCCCAGAGAGCGCGAATGACGGTGCGCAGAAGGGCAATGGCAGCTCGGGCGATCCATAAAACGCGTGCTGAACAACTTGAGGTTTCTTCAGTCTAAGAGCTGAAAGGCGCAAGTGAGCTGTGCTTCAAACACGCGGCGACCGAGGAAGCTTGACAACAGTCATCTCGTCTGCGCTGGACTACAAGCGTTTTCTGGACCGACGGAAGCAGATGATTCAGCAGCAAGTCGAGTCTGCGTAGCCTTGGCCAGCGGAGTTTTCGGAGTTCCGCTTGCAGCTTTTGAATCCCTTGCAATTACAAGTGTTCCTAATATGTGCTGTGTTTGGTGGATTTGAGCATGTTTGTGGGAGAGTGTCCTTTGCACGGGGATAGCGTGGGGTGATGATTGAAGGCGAACTTCTTGAACCCAGTAAGTTCTGAACCCAACAAGGGTTTCCCTGACCATTCCTCTACAAATGAGGGTCTGTTGGTTCGATCTGGGTATTTCTGACAATGGTGGACCCCCTTTTGTAATTTAAAGGGAGGCCACAAAGGAAACCAACCTATTTGGGCAATCACTATTTTGAGAAACCCCAATAGTGTGGCTCAAAGTTAAAAAGGAGGGGTTACGCAGGTTTTGGTCCATGTTTCCACTTACCAGGGTTCGATTTTGGCACCGGTTTTTTGAGCCACAGCCATAAATGTTAACCTGTGGGTGCTCCGCCGGGATTTGGGTGGGTCTCGCTAAGGCAGCAGGCAGATCGGGGCGATGGCGAGGCGCCGGAGGAGGATGCCACTAGGAGCCCAGCCGTAGGCCCGATCTATGCCAGCGGGGATTTCATGCCGCACCGATCGTTTGGGAAGGTATTGATCCAATTGGCTGTGGGTGAAAAACAGGTACCCCAAAATAGGTACCCAATAGACTAAAACCTGCGGTCTGGTGGCCTAATTTTGGCCCACACCCAATTCAAGTCATCGCCAAGTGTGCCAACAGTCTATTTCAGCAGCGCTAGAAAACAACTCATTTGTTCATGTTTAGTCAAGGGCTGGCAGCAACACGGCCCCGTGTAAGCCAAACATGCCCGCGTGAGCTGTTGTGACGAGTTTCCTTGAGTCAGCTGCTTGTAAGTGACGACTGAAAGGCTGCGACTTGTGAGGACATCCGCGTAAGCTCGCGCGTAGATTCGGCTTCCAACCGTGATCCCGTGACTTTGCCATCTGCCACATGGTACTTCGGACTCGCGCACTACTCCCGCCGTACAATTATTGAGTTGCACTTCAATCACTACTTTCGCGCCAGAAAGGCCTGCGGAAGCTAGCGTTGTGGGGGCATGCAAAGTCTTGCTAAGCGCGGCACACGCAAGCCTCTCGCAAGCCTCTCGCAAGCCTCGCGCAAGCTCTGTCGTGAAAACACCTCTGCACGTAAGGTGATTGTGTTCGTGCGTAGGGCGGTCGCACAACATGTTTTTTTCGCATGGCTCATTTGCCCCAAAAGGAAGCCATAAAGGGGTTCATCGATTCTTGCCAGACCCAATCCCCCCCCGACAAATACAAGCGGAAAACACATCCTTCTCCCCCCCCTCCCCAATTTTCCCCAACAGAAGGACAAGATCGACAGTTTCCCTTTCCCTCTGCCCCTCGCTTCGCCAAAACGGCGCTGAGCGCGGGAATTCCCCTGGCAGGTTGGAACGCCCGGCCCGCCGGACCGGTGAAGGGCAACCACGCGGTCGCCGTAGCGCAGGCGGTGCCGGTCACTTCCAACGCCATGAAGCGCCCGCCTTTGGGCGAAAAGGGGACGGGATGGGTGGACTTTGGAGGTGCCCATGCTTTTTCGGGCCAGGGTTTTAGTCAATGTTTCCTCTTGAAGCCACCAAATTTGGGGGGATTCAGGCGAACTGTTGGAAAAAGTCGGACACCAGCACAGCCCACATTGTGGCCAGCGGGTGGCAGGCAACGCGCGGCGTTTCTTGGGCGTCTGAGGACGTCGTCAGGGGCCACCACGGCGACCTCCAAGGGTAGCGGCGACGATTCGCAGCCGGAGGCTCGCGATGCTCGCGTGGGCGCGTTGCTCGTTTCTGCGTCGTTGGGTCGTTGCTATGCTCGGGTACCCTTTTGGCTTATACCAAGTGGTTGGTTTCCTTTTGGCTTACTCCCGCGGCTGTTCAGACACAGCGAGACAGGGTCCTTGACTTTTCCAGTCTCCTTTTGGGGAACGTACTATGCCTAGGTTTGCATGGCAGTTCGGCCAGGACTCAGGTACCCCGACGTCGGCGCGTAGCAGCAACACCACCCACCTCTTGCGTCGGGTTTGCGTGATGCCGGAGAAGCAGAGGGCCCAGCTGCTCGCTCGCAACTTGCGACGTCCTCCTCAATTGCAATTCTGAGGGCTCACGCATCCCTAACAAGAAATAGGAACCACACATCCACACATCACACCACAAACCGCAACCGCATCCCAAGAAATTGCATGTGGAAGTTCTTTGCTCAGGACACCGCAGGCTCGCCCCAGCCCGTCAGCAGGGGCAGGCAGGGTCAGACTTGCCATTTGGGTTCTTGGGCTGTGTTTGTTTTGGGGTTCCCCTTTTTGTGCCAGAAGTACCCCACTTTTGAAAAGCAAGCAATCATTTTGGACGTTGCATGTCCCCCCCCACCCCCTGCCCGAAAAAAGAAAGACAAGAAGCCGAACAGCGCGCAGGCGACAGCGTCGGGCGCATCCGCACCTCACTGCCGGCGGGCGGCGCACATCAGGCTTGCCGCAGCTTGGGCCAGCCGCTCGTCGGAAGATGGGCAAGAGGCTGCAAAGTTCTGCAAACGGCCGAGCAGCTCGATGGAAGTGTGGCCGTGCAGCCCGCTTGCACTCTTGCCACACACAAAGCAAGAAGCGAATAAATTTGCTACAAATCAAGAGGAACGAATATCTGGAGATGACATACAAATAATATGTGTTGGTTTTCGGTCTGGATGATTTCAACAATCGTGCGCCCCACATGCTAGTGGTTGCCCGGAAAACGGGTTACGGACTAGGACCTGTAGGGATCTGGGTCCACGTGCCTGGGCACATCACGCCCGAAGGAATGAGCAGAAGGGCGAGATCCTTGGCGGATTCTCCAAGGAAGTCACTGAGGCACGGTGTCGCTTCGCCCATAAAGCGATCCCTCTTAGCCATTGAATCAATGTTGGACCCCGTTTACTAATTGGAGTCGCTATTGTAGAAACCTGTTGTCCTAATTCAGAATACTGTTTTGCGGTTCGTCAATATGGAGCTTTCTCCCCAACTAAGCACACACACACACACGCACGCACACACCAAAAAATGGCACAAAGAAACAAGGGAAGCGCAAGGAGAAGTAATACTAAACTAAGAATGGCAAGCCAGACCCAGGCTTGCCCCTTTATCACTGAAGAGGCTCCACATGCTGATAGCGCTGTTGAGGGGAGGGGGTCATATTACAGAGTCCAACATTAGGTGGTCTTTACTACCTGGTTTCACGCAAGTTGTCGTTATGCATGTTTAACCTGCATATTCATTTTGGTGGCCAAGAATGATACATTGTCCGGCAGATAGAGAAGTGCATTTTCAATCCCGCGTATGTATGCAATCTATGGCGAGTTTTTATCCCTTTAATTCCATCTCTCGATTCACTAGAAGTTGTCAGGAGGTGGCAAGAAGACACAGCTTTTCTCTTTCACATGTCCCATTGCGTGGCATGGGTGCATCAGAATCACCATGCGTGCCATGGTCAAACCAGGAGGTTGCAAGTCCGCCTAGGGAATCCAAACGCAAATGGAACATGTTGAGCTTTGCACATGCACATGTGTCAAAACAGGCAACCCCAGAGAGATGTGATTCCCTTTTCCCCGCAAACTAATGTGAACTTTGCAACCTTTGGAGGCATGTTCACACGGTCTATATCTTTAATCTTTACTGAGCCGATGAACCTATGGCTGTGAATTTGAATAGGACTTATTGCTGGACATCAGCTAGGTTGGGGTTTCTGTCCTCCCACTGTTGCAGGGTTCCCTATGAAATTTCGTAGTCATATGGGTAACGGTCAAAACTAAGCCACCAGGGAACCGCAGGTTTGAGTCCTTGGTTTCATCTACCCGAATTCCATTTGGGGTATCTTTGACCCGTATCTGAACCCCACCACGCCCAACCGCCCCAGACGGGCGAAGTCTCTGGGCGCAAGCAGCGGGACTCCTTCGATGCCCTCCTGAAGGCGCCGACAAAAATCGGGGTCCGCCGTGTCCGGGGCTTCAACGGGTTCCCCCCCCCCCCGTTGATTTGGGTGTCGTTCTTTAAAAAAGCCCCTCGGTTTCCCTTTTGGCATTCATTTAAAGCCACCAATTTGTGGTTACCAGGTTTGAATCAACCAAAGGCATGGTTGCAAGTCCCCTTAGGTGCTGACCACGTCCCTGCGAGCGTGGTCCATCCACAGTATTGACCCCAAATCAATCCGTGTCTTTTGTGTCCATCCACTGTATTGAACTCAAAATCCACCTGGTAGATGGGTCTGTCTTTTCTTGAGGGCGCCCTTTTTGGGTGGTGTTAAAGGTGAAACTTTGTAACCCCAGTGGATGGACAGAATCCTTGTCCGTCCTTGGGAATGCCAGTTGGTTGGCTGTCTAGTTCAAACCATTTTGAAGGCGGCCACGAGCCGTTAAAGGATCAAAGCACGAGGTGGTTTCGGAAAGGTAAAGGAACGGGAATGTACACGGGGCCATTGTCCTTTGTTTTTATTATTGTTATTATTGTTAATTCGTTTATCTTCTTTTTTTTTCTCTTCTTTTTCTTATATCATTCTTTCTTTCTTTCTTCATTTATTTTTGTTTTGTTTTGGGGGGGCAAGGCAGAGGGCTTGTCCTGTACCTTCCTGGATGCTGGGTGGCTTCTGTTGCCCTCTTGGGATGGGGCTGGGGAGTGTTCGCGGAGTTGCTTTTTGCAGAATGCATTTTGCAGGATGACATGAGCGACGGCCGGCCAAGCACAAGCACCACACTTTCTGGAAGTTCGCTTGATGACTACATCGCCCTGTGCTCATCTTCAGGGTTCAGGTGCAAGCATGCAGCTATTTTTGTTGGCGCCAAGGTGGGAAAGCAGATCGGTCAGGGAGCTTATGCCACCGTCGCCTTTGGGTTGCACAAAGAGACGAGCAAGAAAGTTGCCATCAAGATCTACGACTCTCAGCTCCATTGGGAAAAAAACCCTCCGACGTGCGGCACACATGATTGAAAGCCGGCAGGATAGTCAGATTCAACCGCAGCCATCGCAGCCCATTCATTACAGATGCTAACCATGTGGTAAGATCAACGCAGATCCGGCTGAGCGGAGTCCGGAATCTGGGAGCTATTTTTGTGGGGTGAGTGGTTCAAGAGCCAAAGGTAAGGGCTTGGGTCGACCGTGTTTCTGGGCCTTCGGTTTTCCTTGGCGGCCATTTATGTTCTAGAGCCCTCCCATTTGGGATTCATTCCCCCCCCCTCCGCAACCAGGGAGGCCACAAAGAGCTTGAGCCGAGGAGAAGTACAAGCTCTTGGACCCACAGCGCCGCAAGAGCGTGCGCTGCGAGATCCGGCCCCCCAGCTCTTGGGAGGTGGGTGGGCTTCGCATCTCTGGGGGGGGTGCGGGTTTTCAGAACAGGATCCCCAAATATGCTCGGCTGGGCCAGTGCACCGGCCAAAAGAACCGGCCCGCCCGAGGCTGATGGAACGCCTGAGGCACCCCAACATCGTAGAGTTTCACGAGGCATTGGACACGCCGCTCAGAGCGCCGTTTTCAGCCATTTTCATTTTCTCACTCCCCCGGAAGTACTGCACGGAAGGGGGTGCCCTCCCCATAGATGTCTTCTAGGTGCAATGTCGCGCAGCCGGCGTGTTTCGCGGGGCCGAACATTCTCAGCGGCCCTTCGGCATGTGTCTTAGGCCGAAGCAGATTTATCTCATCATGGACTTTGTGAGTGGCGGGTCGCTGCACCACTTTCTCAAAAAGCGCCCCAATCGTCGAACCGACGACCCGCTGGCGAAGCGTTTGTTCTTCCAGGCGGATCCGCGAGTTTCGAGGGGCCGACTTTTCGAGTTGACTATGACCATGTGGCACATAAGGGAGCCCGCTCTTGGTCTTGAATTCCCTTAAAATGTCAATTGGACCCTCAAAGACCAGAACAGGGCACATATTTCCATGCTAATTGATTACAAGACTGTGCAAATTGCAGTTTTTTCGTTCCACGTGTTTGTATTTCCTGCTCTTGGTGTGCCCCGCACACACATGTCCTGGCCAGGTGTGCCAGGGAATCAAGTACCTACACGACCGCCACATTGTTCACAGAGATGTGAAGCTAGAGAATCTGCTTTTGGACGATCAAGGGACGGCCCCTCGGCTGCACAGCAGAAACTTACTACGCATGCAAGTGGGACGGCCGCAAGGCCAAAAACCAGCGCTTGAAGTCAGTGCCACCCGAGGTGAAAATCATCGACTTCGGATTTTCCACCATCGTCCCTCCAGGCAAAAAGCTCAAGGTCTTTTGCGGGACGCCTTCCTATATGGCTCCGGAGATCGTAGCCCGGAAGGAGTACACCGGCTTTTGTGCAGACATTTGGGCCATGGGGGTGCTTTTGTACGCCCTGCTCTGCGGCAGCTTCCCCTTCCGGGGCCAGAACGATCGCGACCTGTACCGGAAGATCGTGCGGGGAGTCTTCCACATCCCCGACTTTGTGGGGGACGGCGCCAAGCTGCTGGTGCAGAAGGCCCTGACCACAGACATGGTGCGCCGCGTCACCGTGGACGACCTCATGGCGGATCAGTGGCTCTCAGCGCAGCGGGAGGAAGGGCAGAGCAGCTTGGGCGCACTTGCGAGAGGCTCCACCCCAGGACGTCAGTTGCCATCGATTGTTTTTGGGGGGCTTGCCAACCAAACAAACAAACAAAAACAAACAACCAAACAAAAACAAACAACCAAACAAGCAACCAACCAACCAGCCAGCCAGCCAGCCAACCAACCAACAGGCCAACCAGCCAGGGGACGAAGACCAGACACCCCAACTTGCAACTTATTTTGCAACGTTTTCCAGTTTGTCGCGGACGTGCATTTTTTCGCCCTGAGACGGTGCCGCGTTTTGCCCCAACTTGCCTGTGCCAAGGCCCCTTGCTGACAGGGGGGAAGTTAATTTAAGACGACTCCAAGCTGGGCTCTTCAAAGGCACACATCAGCAAAACAAATGAACCCTTGCGCTTTAGAGATGTAGAGATGGCCCCAAAAGGCTCACCTGCCCAAAGCCAGCCTTTTGACCTTTTAGTTTCCCCCTTTTTTTGGGTCTCTTTTTAGTTCTGGCCCCGACAGGTGATCACCTTTTATGTCCAGGTCCCTAGAATCAAGTCGGAAGGTGCGAAAAAGTTGGACGCCTGGCCGAGGTAAAGTGACGTACCAGCCCAACAGCTCCACCTCTTCCAGCCTCACCACTGCCGTGCCCTCCACGGGGCAAAGCGCCCGCGAGAGCAGCGGCGACTCCCCGCGCTCGCGGACCTATGCCACCCCCCCGCCGGCCCCGGCGGTGCCAGAGGACCGAGAGGGCTCGGATGCGGGCGGCGAGGTGGGAAGTATCCCTTGCTACCCACCAATCAACCTTCCCCAGAATTAGCTCCCCTTTTGGCTTTTTTGCTTTTTTGGGGTTCGTTTTGTTTTCCACTAACCAGGCAAAACAGATATATTTTTTTGCTGGGGTCCTAATTCCAGCCTAGCAACATGGAACCTGACAGGGGGTTGGTTTAAAGGAAAATTGTTTTTAGGACCCCCCCCCCCCTGTGAGGTTTCATGTTAATTGTGTGGGAGGGTAGCTCCCCCGATGTGGTAAAGAGGGTAACTCCCACTTGGACTTAGTACCTATCTATAGGGATGCTAAGCACTTGCTAAGTGGGGTGGTCATCCAAGGTTGCTCTTGGTTTGCTGTTGGCACTTGAGTAAGTGAGCTATGAACCATGCTTGCAAGTTAAACATTCTCATTCGCTTCGTAACCTGGGTGCTAACCACTTGCTAAGCACATTAAGTACTTCATTCATCCCTGCGAGGTTCCTGCATGTCCAACAGGCTTGTGTGCAGGGCTGGGTGAAGGGCGAAGGCAAAGGAACGCGTGCTGGCTTGGCGTCAGGAGAAGCGAGAACATCGCGACCCCTCCCGCGAGGCTGAGAAGACCGCGGAGGCGTCTGTGACACGAATGGGCACCGCCGTCTCACAGGCGCCAAGGGCGATTGAGGGGGGGTTGAGGGGGTCCAGGGGGCCCGGCCCAGTGCGAGCAGAGAGCGCGGGGGCATGAAGTTACATGAATGTGCACCAGGCAGATGCGACTATCACCGATGAGCGGTACAACCGCCGGGTCGAAGAAGAGGCCATCAGCAAGCTGGAACGGCTTGGGTATCCTCGCCGCTCGGGCTGAGTTCTTTACTTCTGGCACTCCTCGCCAGGCGCCAGATACTGTGGATGGACGAAATCCTGCACCAATTGAAACCATAGGACACCATGGTTGGTTGGGTTTTGCAAGGGGATCATGGTTCCAGGGTTTCTCAAGTGGTGCAGGATTTCGTCCATGCACAGTATGATGAGCGTGTTGGCATGTTGGCACCATGACGGTTCCTTTGCCAAGCCCGAGGAGAGGAGATTGTGCGACAGCTGAAAGATCCGTCGTCGCACTTGTGCTGCTTGGGAAGCCAATTGTATGGTTTTGTCTTGTGGAATTGTGTTTGGGCGTGGTCAATTCAAGTCAGGGATGATTTTTTCAGGTGAAAGCGTCCGAAGTTTCAGACAGCCTATTCGCACCGTGTCCGAGCAGACCTCCAGAGCCTTTGTGCCCAGCTGAGGTAAGCTTTACCATCGCTTTCTGAAGGCATTGACAGCCTGGGATAGCAAAAAATGACATTGCTCTCATTTGAGAGGTTTCAAAATTACATGTGCTGGGTCATGTTCAGGTAGCGATTCGCCAGGTGATTGCCCCACTCAGCACACCTTTCCAGCCTAGGGGGAGGAGCTCCAATGTGTTTGGCACGTGCTCACATGATCCAGTACTGCAGCAGCATCCCGAGCGCTGATGTGTTCGGACCTCACCTTGCCCTGCACTCGTGTTACTTGTTCACTATGTGTGTTGTATTGAATTGTCATTTAGCGGGGGGCTTCCAAAAGAGTGAAAGAACAATCACAATTTGATCCTGGACTAGTGCCACATGCTGGCAAAGCCGAGAGGCTCTGAGAACTTTGGAATTGTGCGTGGGGCTGGTGCCAGCTGCCTGTCACAGTGGGTTCTGATGGAATCCGTGTATATCGTTTCATTCTGCACACAGACTCTGTGAGCCTGAAACCGGTGAGCATCCAACCTGTCCACCCGTCCGAGTTGCGGGTTCTACCCTTTTTCCGATGGAAGTGGAGGTTTCGGGCTTAGATGGTCTTCCAGAACCCTTCGGTCCACTTCCGTCAGGGGGTCCTATATTTCCCCTTTGCGTGTGACATGACCTTGGGCAATTTGGGGACAGTTTGAGTTATCTCTAGGTGATGTTTTTGCAGGGGAAATGTAGGGGACCCTGTCCATTGCTGCAAAGAGGGTCGGACACATGGGCGTGGACACACAGCTGTGATACATTCTTGCTGGCGCGCACACACACAGACATGCATGTAGGCATGGATATGTGTTTCTTGCCTTGGTGGATGTTGATGGTTTTTTCTGGATGCACCTGGGCTCCCCTGAGACGCAGTCTCCATGTGCAGCAGATGCACTGGTTCCTCAATGAGTGCTCGGTAGACTGGCAAAGCAGCCAGGCACAAAAAGGGGCAGACACACGGGCTCTCTACATTTACCCACTGGCCCTCGAAACGATGATGTCTTCCACCCCAAGTTGCCTGCTGCAACCAGGGCGCCTGCAGACTGGAAACAGCCGCAGGCAAGAACTTTTATTCCGCACAGAGTCTCACCACTTGCCTTGTATTTCGTTGGAGCTGCGCCCGCACGTAGAAAAGGACTCCGATCGCCGGCCTTTCCCACACCTTCCACCCTTTTGGCTCCACATTTTGCCTCGCGCAGCGCTTCCCAGCTCGAGCTGCGCGCGCCCAAAGCCGCGTCCCGGGACGCCGCGCCCTTTGGCGGGCCATGCTCTCCGGGCTCCTGGCGGCGTGGCGCGAGCTGCGGCGGGGGCCGCGGCTGCTGCAGCAGCCGCTGGGCCAGCTGCTGCTGGCCGACCTGGACCGGCGCGACCCCCATTTTCGGGCGAGGGAGTCGTCGGGCATCTGGGGCATCTGGGGCGGGCCGGGCGGGCCGTGCCGCCGTAGCCGTGGGCAATGTGGGTGCGGATTTCAGGTCCTGGTTTTTTGCAGTGGCATGTGGTGAAGCATCGTATGGCACTTGTGCCATGTGGACCCATGTGCTCAGGATCGGCGATGGCGCCGCTGCAGTTCGGGAGCTGGCGGAAAGGCTGCCGCAGGTTGAGGAGGCGAAAGGGCGTTCGGGCGGCGAAAAGCCGGAATCGTCATCAGGACAAGGGTTTACTGGGGGCGCACGCCGAGGTTTTCACAAAGGCCGTTGCCTCATGTGCAGGAGGATGGCTGGGAGCTGGTTGAGGAGCTCATGGTGGAGGCAGGGACGGCCTCCCAACAGTGGCACAAGATAGTTTTTCCATAGCCAGACCGTGCCTGGCTGTGTCAAAAGGTGGTGTGTCAAACCCCACCAATCCGTTTTTTCCACTTTAGGTCATCCCAGAATGTTATTGTCAAAGGCATGGGTTGCTCCGGATCCGCGAGGTGTTCCCGGAGGCGCTGGTTTCAGAGTCCTGGCTGGAGACGCTGCTGCGGGTGGTGCGCACCCACAGCTGCGGCCGGAAGCCAGGCCCGTGCTGTAGCCCGCCTTCGCGAAGTCAGTGGGGAATGAGCTGGTTAGTGCACACCCCGGATTAATAAACCCCTGTTTGTCAATATGGGGGTGCCCCTGGTTTAGTGGGGAACACCCCCATATTCGTCATAAACAGGGGTTTATTATTCCGGGGTCAACATTAGGTTAGCCCACCTGGGTAACTCTTCAGGGGGACCAAGTGAGAGCCTCTAGCCTCTAGCGAGTGGTTGGAAGGGAGCCAAGGAGCTGGGGCTATCCAAATGTGGCTCAGGAGCCACCAGGAGTTCTGTAATGATATGGTAAGGCCAGGTTAGCAACTTGCTTGGCCGAAGACTCAAGTGCATGGACCAAATCGATGGGGCTTTAAAAAGCTGGCTTCGGCCCATGATAAGGGTCTTTTTTTTTGGGGGGGAGTCCTCGTTCCAGTTTGGGACAGCGATGGACATCTGCCACAAAATATTGTTTTGTGGCTGTTTTGGCAAATTTCCAGTAGACATTCTTGTAGCTAGTTGCGATGAATAGTGATAAGGCTCTATGAGGGGACCTGCGCAGGCGGCTTTTTCTCGGACACCCACGTGGCCGCGCTTGAGATGCTTCTGTGGCTCGGCCACCGGGTTTGGGGGCGACCGGAAAGCCAATTCGGTCGCGCCAAGTAGCGCTTGGACAGAGCTTCTCAAAGGATCAAAAGAGCTTGGCCATGCCAAACGCCCCTCCTTTTTCCTTCAAGCCAAAAACCACCAGGCTAAGGAAACCCAAAACAACCAGGCTAAGGCTGAGGCTAAGGGTGAGAAGGCTAAGGGGGGGCTAAGGCTGAGGCTAGGCTTGAGAAGCGTTAAGAGCCCGTTTTTCTTTTTGGACCAGCGGCGGAGGGAAGCGCCGCGGCCACTCCGCGAGATCCCGCCAGCCCAGTGGCAGCGGATGAGACGCTTGGCCGAGCCATTCGAATCCATTTGGGTGTGTCTTGTTTCGGAATCGGACCCCCAAAATGGCGAAAATGGTGGGGTTCCTGTTGGTTTCCAATAAAACAAAGCGGAAAAAGGGGGACCTTTCAAAAAAGACGAACCCATTTCCAATAAAACCCCAGCCTTCCAAAAGGGGTGTGTGAACTTCATTGTGGACGCTTACACTTTTTTTTTTCAGGAAGGGTTTGATGATGGAAAGTAGAGCCTATGTTTCTATCATACGGCGGGATGTTCCGGCTGCCGCATGGTGTTTTCGCAGGGAGATGCACAAGTTTTGGCACAGAGGCTGAGGGTGTCGGGCCAATTGACTCAGGAGCGGACGACCCGCAGATGCTGCAAGACATCCAGTCTTGTGAGGCGCTTTATGGCACAGATGCTCGGCTGCAAGCGGCCTCCCCGCGATTCCCTCCCAAGTGGACAAATTTCAGGATGCAGTTGCCAAGCGCGCAGACCGCGTGGAGATCAAGATTGAGGACAGAGGATGGGGGAGTGGCAGGTACCGCTGCCATTTCTGCATCTCAGGCCGCGTGACACCTGCAATGCCACAGGAAGTGCTTGTCATCTACCGCTTCGACTCTCTAGCAGCTTGGCACAGGGAGAGTCCCAGGCAAGAGCAAGCAACAGAGGTCCATGTGTTCCAGCTGCCGGGAGTTTGGTTTCGGCGGCCCGTGGTTTTTTATTGGAGGGAAATATTAATTTGAGCCTCTGAGTGTCTTTGCCTTCACCCTCTCCAGCGAATCCCTTTTGAGGGGTTTCGCTCCTTACAAACACACCCATGTTTGCCCGGGCTGTCCTAGTATGTTGTTGGGCCCGTGAATCTCAGTGGGCACCTTTTTCGTTGCCTTGCTGAGTCAAGACCCTCTGGACGGTCGGGACGCAACGGCAGAGAGAGAGAGAGAGAAACCCCAAATGCCATGGAGCGGCTCCCTTTGGAACCTGTGAGCACCCAGGACCCCAAGCGAGTAGAGGTCCGGGCGAAGAGCACCGGCGATGAGCTGGTGACCCAAGCAGCCCTTTGGCTGGTGCAGAGGTGGGCTCTGTGGCTGTCTGTAGCTGGCGCGAGTGCTGGGTAATGATGCTTTGGGTGGTGGAAATTGCCACCAAGCCCGTGCAATAGGGTGCAAAGTGTGTGCCGTTTTGATGTTCTTTCTTCCTGGTGTTGCATTCTTGGCACCCTGCATGGCTGTCATGGCCCACGTTCCAAATGGGGGCTTTGCGCAAATGCGGGGGAAGGCGGTGTTGCTGAATCGCCCGTTGGCAGTTTTTCTGGCGCCCTGGCGCTGTCGGACGCTGTGCAGCTGGCGCGCGGTCGCGCTGAGTGCCTTGGCCGGAGCTGATGTGCCCTGTCCTCCCTTTGGGCAGACGGGTCTTTGGTGTCCCGCATTTGCTTTTGTGGGCGTCCCACGACGGAGAAAACAACTAGCGTTGAGGGTGCCGGAAAGGTTTGCCTTGTTTTATCCCTTGGCACTCATCGTCGCCCTCTGGCCACCGATTTGAAGGAAACTGAATTGTTGCATTCTGCACGAAAGAACTTGGAGGGCCTTGGTCCCACCGAGGGCATCTGCGCCGGAGCCGCGCAGTGCCCTGTTGCTGGCGACCCCCAGCTGTCGATGGCTGGGTCTGCAGCAGGAGACCGCCGGGGTGCCGCTGGATTTCGTCAGCCCAAAGCAGGCGGCTCCTTGGTCGGATTTTGGTCGAGGCGGAAATCTGGGGGTGCGCCTTGGACTTTTTTTTTTGGGGGGGGAATCTGAATCAGTCTCTATAAAGTAGAAACCTGCTTGGGGGGAGGTGGGAAGGCCCCTCTATCAAAAGGCATGCGGGAGCCAAGCTGGATCAGCTGAGGCGAGCCAAGCATCCCGGATGATCCAGAAGTATTTGACCAGTCACAAAGTTTTTCAGCGTCTCATCCAAAGTTGCTTTGCATGCTGGTAGATCTGCTTGGACCAGATGTGCTTGTCAGGCCCGCAGGCAACGCAGAAACCGCTGCTTGCCTGCAAATTGCATGCGCATGCCGTGACCCAACAGGTGTACATCACAGAAAGATAGACCCATATGGAGATCCCCTAGCAGGGCATTCATGGCACGGTGCGACTTGAGGTGGTGAATGAGAGGCTGGCCGAGCGCTTCGCAGAGAAGCTGGAGCAGATGCGCATCGGATCTGGGAGCTTTGTGACGCCCTCACTGGTCTTCCACGGCGCAGGTTCTCAGGAGCATGAGGGAGCTGGCTGGCTGCTTGCGGGATATTCGGATATGGCTGTGGGTCAAAACCCAGGAAACTCCCGGTGAACATCAAAATAGGTGGCAAATGGACTTGTGCCCCATGGCCATATTCTCGTTGGATTGTACTTGTTGTGGTGGTTGTCGTAGTTGGTTGTGGTTGTGGTCCCCATTTGCTCACATGCGCAGTTTGCAGAGTGTTCGGAGGCAATTCTGGGATGCATTCTTCGGCAGACCGATAAACTCATACCCCTGGCCAACAACCGCAGCACATAGTAGAGGGACGCAAGAAGCAAGGAACAGTTGAAAGGCAGACCCCGGCTGCGATTTCAATGCATCCTTGCAGCAACTAACGTGCTGCACACACTGGGCGCAGATAAGACAGGCGCTTGCAGCTAAACGCGGCCACAACTTGCCAAGGCAACAAATTGGTACGAGTCGCTACTGGGCCACTTGGCCATGGTTTGGGTCTTCGCGCTGCTGGCCCTGGCGGCCGGCTGCGACTTGGAGCCTTGGCTCCAGGAGGTTCCGGAGGCGGACCGGGGCTACCACGTGCTTTGCGTGGGTCCGGAGGCCGCGGATCTCCGCGCCGGCGGCCTGGCGGCGGCGGACCCGCGGCAGCTGGCGCTGGGCGACTTCTCGGCGCGGCTGGAGGCGGAGCTGCGGATCAAGTCGCGGCTGGTCTTCCAGCTGCCTTCAGGTCAGGGGGAAGACAGAAAACTGCCGAGAGACTCACCGGACAGGGTTCTCAGTGTGAGGTGTCGGAACCTGCAAGAAGGTTCGATTTGAATCCTCCTTCTTTGTTTTTTGGGGGGGTGAGTCTCTGAGTAGGGGAATTAGGTTTGTGAGCCTTCAGGCGGCAAGCTGAAGTTCCCCAAGCAGAGCTGGGCGGTGTTCACGGAGGCCGGGGAGCGCTGGAGCCCGGAGGAGCTGGACCGGAGGGTCTCGGACTACCGGGGGGTCCTGCTGCTGTTCGAGGGGGGCAACTGGCGGTGGCCGGGGGTGCGGCTGGGCTTCCGGCGCGAGGTCCTGCCCGGGGTGGTGCTGAGAACGGTGGCGCTGCGCCCGGCGCTCTTCGAGGTGAGCCACAATCAAACCCGGGCAGAGGGTTAGGGCCAGTCCCAGCCGGAAACAGTTGCGGAATTCTGACTCAGGTGGAGCTGGGCAGTGGGGCCGAGATGCAGCCGGAGCTCTTCGCGGATGTGGTGAAGTCCTCCGAGGCGCAGCTGCAGCGCTCCACCACGGATGCAGGCGCCGTGTCGCAGGAGCGGACCAGCGAAAGCACCTGGCTGGGCTACGAGCAGAGCAGCGTGCTGCTGCAACTCAGGGACTTCACGGTCCAGGCGCTGCGCATCCCGCTGCCGAACTGGGAGACCAGTCTGCAGGTGTTGCGCTACGGGCCCGGGCAGTTCTATGATGCCCACAGGGACTACTGGGACCCCCGGGAGTTCCCCGATGCGGAGCGCTGGACCCACCCACGGAGCCGGACCTGGAACATGCGCCACGCCACGCTCCTGTGGTATCTGCAGCTTCCGGCGGAGGGTGGTGAGACCTGGTTCCCGCGCGCCCATGGCGGCCCGGTGCCCTATGGTGAGTGGACGGCTTGTGACGAAAGGGGTGTCAAGATGGGGAATGGCACCGCTGCCATCCTGTGGCTTGATGCATCAACTTTTGCCACACTCACTGGTAGTTTGCTTTTGCATGTTTGAGGCCATCGAGCAATGACACTAAGTTCCCTGATTTCCTGACCAAACCGATGAGAACCTGAGCAATGCCAGTTTTTTTTTTAAAAAAAAATTGGAGGGGCCTACACCTGTGCAGTCAGCGACTCGCCAGGTTTTACTCCCTCTACTCCAGCGGTGAGCTTGACACCTTCAGCTGGCACTGTGCCTGTCCAGTGGTGCAGGGCACCAAGTGGGCGGCCAACAGTTGGGCCTGGAACCAGCCGATCTCGACGGGACCCTTCGCCAGGCGGAAGCCCAAAGCGAAAGCGAAAGCCGGCAACGAGCTGTGAGCTGGAAAAGGGGTGCGATGGGACTGGGACAGGGCTGAGGAGGTTGGACAGTGGGCCCTATGTGAAGAATTTCTGAGTGATTTGGGGCTTGGGTTTGTGGCTTCGATTGGGTGTAGGCGGCGGCAGAGCGTGGCACTCTGGGCACACGCCCAGAGAGGAATGTGAAGCGACCGGTGTGGAACGGCAGCCAACACGTCGGTTCGCAGTCTTGTGCCGTTCCGGCGAGCCTGTTGACGCAAGCGTGATGGAAGGGCCAAGTGGCCGGTCTTGGGGAAGTCCAAACATACCATGCGCAAAGCCACACTGGCCAGTCGGCATGCTAGCTGATGAAACCTTCGAACCAACATGATCCTCATTCAGCCAGCCGTGACGCACCTCTTACTGACAAGCTAAGCCGATTAAACTGCAGAATTGTTCGCAGCCTTAAGCTTAAACCTCCCTGAACCCCCTAATTTCAGCTGAAGCAGCTGATGCCTCAGTTGAGTTGAACCAGGTGCCTTTGTTTTCTGAGGGCCTCTGGTCGGTTTGCTTCTACTTTTTGGGCTCCGCCCCTCTTCGGTCCATCCAGACTGCGCAGGAGGTGCTGCGCAGCATTTGCCGCCGCGGCTTCCTGATGCCCGGCGACTGGATCGCTCCCCGGCCGCGAAAAGGACCGCGAAAAGGAGGCTTTGGGGGAGGGGGACAGGGATGCGAGCGAGCGCAAAGTTTCTGACGGAGGTTTCGTATGGCAAAAATGGATGGAGAGAAGCTCTGAGATATGACTTGCAAGCTGGGAAGTGGACATGTCTTCTGGGCACGTGCCCATTCAAACAAAGGCAGGCCAGCATTGGCACAAGCTTTCGCCGGTGTGAGCATTGCTGCGTGTCCAACAATGGCGGCTACTTCCGCAAGAAGAACGATGCCCCACTGAATGCCAAATTGCAGCCTTGGGAAATGGGTATGGCTCAACATGCTTCTATTTGCAAAGGGATTGGGGTTTCCATTTTGTATGAGGTGCCCTGTGTATCATTCCCCTGCTTTGGTGGCATGACCGTGGGTGTTCGGGAAGTGAAGCGGCCACATGAAGCCAGCCGAGCGCCGAGGAAGGCACGCCGGACTTCCTGGAGATGGAGCATGGCAATGTGAAAGGCGGGGGGTTGTTTCCACAGAACGCCCCGGGCTGGGTACATGTGGTTTTCTTTCTTTTTTTCTCCCCTTGTTCCCCCCAAACTCTATTCAAACATGTCTAGGTACAGACCAGAAGAAACAAGCTTCTGTTTTTTTTTCCTTTCTGAAACTGCCGATGGATGGCCCGGTGATGGTGGAAGAAGCAATCAATCACGCCTCTTGACCGGCTCCCTGGCTTTCGGCGCAGCCCACGAGACCAAGAAAGGTTCCTGGAAACTTCTTGGAAGGGGACTGAGGACCATTCTGGTGGGTAAGGGGAAAGGCCTGAATCGTGTGTGTGCATATATATATATATATATTTATATATATATATATATATATGTACACATGCATATGTGTACACACACGCATATAAATGTATATATATATATATATATGTATTTATACATATACATAGATGTTTTTTGGGTACTTGTTCTCCTTTTTGGTCGGTGAAAGGGAAACCAATATGTCGAGACAAACCCAATAGCCCTGCCGGACATGTGGCATTTTCAAGAGGATGCCCCTCTTGTGCCTTTCCATTGGTAAGAGGCAGGAGGGTAGCCCACCAACCCCCAGTTCAATACCAGTGACCTTGGAAAGAAAACACGGGGCCATTTTGCGGTCGGCCAGTGGCTTGGGAAAAAGAGCCGTGGCCATTTTGAAGTTTGCAGAGGGTAACCCATCAACCTCCAATTGAATCCAGTGAGCTGGCGCTCGACCACTGACCTTGGGGAAACAAATCCGGGGCCATTTTGTTGGCCTCGCGTGGTATTGTCTTTCGCGTAGACGCCAGGCGTGGGCGTCTACACCTCGCCCTGCCTGGACACCGCGGCGAGGTACGGCGGCATCGAGGACTCCGAGGGTCGAGGCCTGGTGCTGGTGGCGCTGGCGGCGCCCGGGTGCTGCTGGCACGAGAAGAGTCGCGCCTGGGGCGGGAAGTTGGAAAGAAGTGAAGTACTCCCCAGACTAGGGTTGTCGTCGTTGTTTCTATTTTTTGCATTTGTTTATTTGTTTTTATTTGTGTTTTTCCCCTTTTGTGGGGGGTACCGGTACCCCATGTCAACCCGTGCTCATGGGCGCTCATGGGGCCGCGGTTGTTTCAGGGTGATCATTCTTTGGGGGTTGCCTGAAAGTTTTGTCCCATTGAGGGGACCCTTCACTTTGAGCACACCCATATTGACCCGCAAGGCTTCGTAGCATAGACAAGCTTCTAGGTGTAGTTCCAGTGGCCTGGGAACACCTTCCGATTCAGAAGAAGAGGTCATGCAGAAAGGCCTGGGGGCGGATATGCAGATGCCCAGGCCAGAAGACACAAGAAACGTGCCTTGGCTGAAAGGTTGGGTTCGGAAGCTCCATCGTCCCTTTGCGGGGACATGCTGGATATGTGCCAAAGCGAGTCCCCAAGATTTGCCGTCCCTTGACGCGCCGCATCCTGATGCGCTTCTCGCATGGAAGAAGAGCTCGCCTGGCCTAGGATCCGCAGCTGGTTCTTCCCGTCCGGAGACGTGAAGGCGGATCGTTTCTCGTTTGTTTTTTTCCCGCTGGCTCGTGCTTGGCGAATGAAAAAGTCATTTCGGATCAACAAGCCCCCGCAGATCAATTCAGGGTGGTTCGCCTTTTCGGGAGGAGATTCTGATTTGCATTGTCCTCCTCAGGTTTGTCTCCAAAGTTTGCGTGAGGTGCAGCCAAAATATCACAGTCTATGGCCCAGTTGAGGGACAAAGAGGGCGGGCTCACTAAAAATCATGTGGGTGTGGCTCAGAATAAAAGATCCAGGGTTACGCAGGGTTCCATTTACCACGCTGTCATTTTGTTACATTTGTTCGAGCCACTGCCATGTAACAACAAGGGGACAGATTTCCAATGGTCCTTTGCTTCCATTTGCATTGGGACTATGTTTATTTTCCCTTGTTGGTTTTAAACACTACTGGATTTGTGGTTTGATTTGTGGTTTATTTTTTCCAGGGGGCGAACATGCAAAAGGAAGCTTGCCGGGCATCCGCTTGCCACTTGGGAGGTCGGCACTCAGCACGGCGGCTGGGTCTGGCAGGGCGATGCCTGGCACCCGACCGGCGCAGGGAGCGGCCTGAGCTCACTCGAGTGGAAGGGTCATGCGGGCACGTGGCAATCTCTGCCCATTTTTGATGAAGAATGGGAAAGGAAACTCGGCCCGTCTTTGATGAGGTGTTTGCTTTAACACACACACACACATATATATATATATATATATGTATAAATCCATATTGGTCGCTCGCCAAGAACCTCTGAGAGCACCCGCATTGAGCAAGTGGTTGCAGGACGTCCCTGACTCCGGACTTCGCCTTTGCGCCGGTCGAGGCGCTGTATGATGGCCGCTACCACAGCCGCCGGTACGGCATCGGAACTCAGGCGGGGCGCAGATCCGGTGAGACGTGGGGTTGCTACTGTGGATGGTTGCGAAATCCATTTCGCACCACCTAAGAAACCATGATCGAAACCATTGTTTGTTGGCATTTGCAGGGGTATGGACAAATTCCAGGGTCTCTTAGGTGGTGCAATTTGCGTCCATCCACAGGGGATGGTCAGCTGGATGGGGTTTTGGACAACCAATCTCATCCCTGATTTCGGGACCGGGGAGTTCTGAGAAACAGGTGTCGGAAGAGCTCGTGCTGGCCTCGGTGGATCAACTGCTGCCCCTGCTGCTGGTGCCCTTCGCCCGACGCCCTGTGGCTGAAAAACAGATGCCGGAGGAGGTGACCCCTTTTTGATGGTCGGCTTTAGGCTCAGCTTCGGAGGGTGGCCCGTTTTTTTTTACCCTTGGTGCCCTCTGCATTTGTTTTATTTGTATTTTTTTACTTGGCATTTTTTGCACAGTTAACCAGCAAGGAAAAGACCTCCACGTTTCTCCCATGGCCACCGGGCAAGTAAGCCATTTGTTTCCCTGAGGTGATGCGGCGCCCCCTGCGAAACCGCTGCCGCGGCTGCCTGGGCTAAAGGGCCCCGGTCAGGGCCGCCGACATGCGCTCATGGGCTCGCGGATCTACGCGCCGCTCGGCATTGGTTTGACTGGAAGGGAGCCGGGCATGCAAGGAGCAAGGAGCCACCGATCGGAGATCTGGTTGGGGACATGGGAGTTGGGAGTTCATCTTTTCAATCTCCGCAAGTTTGGGAGGGGTGATGCGCCAATTGCAGAGGGGTATGCAACCGCTGCGGTTGGACCCTAGTCAGAGGGACCGGCAAAAATCGGACGTGTTCCAAGAAGAGGGGTCCAGGTCCCAGCTGGGTACTGCTCTCCAGGTTCCGAAGTTGACATTGTGGATCTTTTTCGCGGTACCCCTTCAGGTACCCCTTCAGGTACCCATGAATCGGTGGTTTGGATTGGCGGTGGGCACATGGGACACCACCCCTCGCCACCGAACCGGGCTCCAAACCACTTGGGGAAGCCGAAGCGTGGAGCCCACCAGGGGGTTGCCCTCCAAAAGACCCTAAGACCCTGCGAGGTCCCATATTTGTGGATGGGAGGCTGCCCTTCTGGTTTCAGAAGCCATACTCAGTTGTTCAGTGGCACCCTTTTCCTTTTTTTTTTTTTTTGGGGGGGGGGGGCTGCCCCACTAAAATGATCTTCCCCAAGATTGGTTCCTTTTTCTTTTTTTTCTCCCAGGGTCACTGAACAAGTGAGCATAGGTATCCCAGCGAGCCCCTGCCCGAGCGCGAGCTCACGTGCTCCAAGTTGCTGGCGGCAGCCGCGCCGGAGGAGGAGCTGTGGGCCTTGCACTTGCCCAAAGGCGCGAGGGCTGCGCTACGTTTGACGGTGGACGGAAAAGCGAAGTCCATAACACGCACTACCGTTCAGAAGCTATGGTTGAAACCATGAGGTTGGTTGGCATTTGCTGGGGATCATCGGAAGCCAGGTTTTTTAAGGTGCGAAATGGATTCGTCCATCAACAGCAGTGGGGTGAGGGTGGGCCGATTTTTTTGTTGGGTCAAGCCAAAGGTCGGCCAAAATCTGGAATAAAAGGAGCAGGGTATGAAAGTACTCGGGGACCCTTTGGTGGACATTATTTAGGTGGGGATTCATGTCCACCACTCTGGAGGCTTCCTAGAGACGAAACTCATGGCAAAGTGAGGTTTGGTCGAAGTATCCTGATTTGTCTACGGTTCATCTGGGAACAAGAAGGGCGAACAAGCCCCAAATTTCCTGCGAAGACCAGGGGGCTCACTTGTCCAATGTCTGGGGGGGGGGGGGGCGAACACAGGTAATTTTGACCGTGCCACGTGTCAGATGGGTTTGTCCAACCAAAACCTTGCTGGTTCGATAGGTAGGGCCGCTGGGAATGTCCCCGCATCGAACTCAATCATCCAACTGGGTGGTTTGTCTTTGACGGGATCCCCTTCGGGTTCATTCCCGACAATCTGGGATGTTCCCTACTGACAGCTAGATGGGTTTGGTAAATTCCCCTTTCAAACCAAAACGGGGTGACGTCAAAAATGGACACATGTACATGAGGTCAATGGGGGGGGTGGGGCAGTTTCCTGAACCATGAGTCAAGATTAGGCTTCCTGCGGCTTTGCCAGCCGTTTTTGGTTGCCTTCACTCGCACGCGCCTGTTCGTTGGCACGGGGGCAGCTTCAGGCGAGAAAAGGCGCGGCAAGGAGCTGAGGCTTGGCGGGAACTGCGTGCCATGTGCCGTGAGCCACGCTTTTCCTTTTCTGATGTGTTGACCCCGGCCTATACGGACCCGGACTGAGTCCATAGCACGGGCCCTACGATCCAACACAGCATGCAGCCAAGGAACGTGATCTTCCTGGTGGATGAGGCCTTGGGTGCCTCCGAGTTCAAGGCAGAGGCCGGCCGAAAACAGCTTGGCCTTCGCACATGCAAATTGGACAAGGGTTTCTTTCCCCCGAAGGAAGGTTCTCACCATGTAGTTGTCCTATGTTTTCTTGGTTGGTTAAGTTCGTTTGAAACTGCAGAGAACTTTTTTGTGGTTGTCCCTTGTTGTGGCTCCTTTTGCAACCTGCGGAGAATCAGAGGTTAGGACCCGATTCCGGTTTTGGGCCCAGGTGCTCACCCTGCTCAGCGCCATCGGCGGGCAACTTCAGGCCGAGTGCAGATTCGCGGGTGGCTTCCTTTGCTTCTTGTTTTTGTTTTTTTTCTCCGGGGGGGTGTTGCCCTTTTTACGTCAAGCCAAGAAAGGGCCTTTCTCTCCCCGGGCCACCGGGTCTGGGCACAGTGGCCACTGGCCTGCGCTGGAATTGTAGGCGCCGGCCGCTGCTGCCACGTTCAACCGCCAGGGCATTGTCCAAGCTGGCTGCGGCCCAGCCGCAAGTGTTTGAGCGACCGCCGCTCAAAAAATATATTGCACCCTTGGTGAACTGGCAGGATGTGCCAATGTGGTTCGTTTCGTCCTCAGGGCCAGGTTGCATCACGGTCAGATACTTTTTTGAACTGCCCAGTTGATCCCATCGGCACCCCATAAAATGCAGTGGGGGGGAACCCTTGCTGCAAGATTTTGGCCTGCGGGCCGTGGTTGCTCCTGATTTGATGGTGGGGTGGGGGGACCCGGTTTTTTTCCAAGCCCAAGCCTGCTTTTGAACCTCCACTGGCTTCATTCTCTCCCAAAAAAAGAGAACAACTGGTAAGGGGTTAGGCCCTGATGTGCGCTGGAGGTGTGCCCTTCCTGCCCAGCGACGCCGCTCATGCCAGCTTTGCCTCGCGCTGGCCCCGCAAGGGGTGTGAAGGCGCGGGTTTGGCGCAGGTTCGCCTTGCCCAGAAAGGATCTTCTTTTGCACAGATGTCCCACCATGGTGAATAGATCGGATCAGCCAAAGAAGCTCTGGGGATATGAGAAGGGGCGTGGAAGACGGGACGCCAAGCTCAACTTCGCAGCTTGCAGGTGCTGGGGATTTGGCTGCCGCCCTGCAGCATGTCACGGACATGGCCATCTCCAAGTTGGTGAAGGAGGGGCGGCAGACATGTTTTGAATGCAGGGGCAGGGCTTGCCCATGATTTCGGGATGCCAGAGCAAGAAACATATTCAGATACATGTATTTCATCCAGCAGCTTTGTCGTCTAAGATGGTTTCCACTACCCCCCAAACCACTAGCCCTCCGGAAAACAATGGAGTATGCGGCCCTACTGCACGGTGTCTCCCCCAACTTACCCTGGTGGAACTCATCTCCACACCAAAACCACGAACTCCAGGGGTATCTCCCCCAATCTGCCCTGACAGCTTCGGCTTGGGGGTCGTTTCACCTCATCGGCGCAAGTCGTCGCCGAGCCCCAGGACACGGAGCGGCGGCTGCAGCAGGCGGCTTCGCCCTGGGCGCAGCTGGCCGCAGGGCATCAGCTGGTGACCAGCGTCGGCCGCACGGAAACCGCGGCCACGGTGACGGAGGCCATGCGGCCGAGCGGCCGAGCGCGAGCATCGCGGGCCGAGAAGCGCCCGGTGCTGGCCGTTTGGGCCGAAAAGAAGCCCGTGTTGAGGACTTGGGGCCGTGGCCGTAGGTCTGAGCCCGGGATTGGTTCGTTAGGCGCTGCTTTGCAGGTCTCCTTCGAAGGCCTCAAGCCAAGCAGCCTGGAGGCCGGGCTCTCCACAGAAGTTTCAGGGAAAAGGCCTGAAGGCAGCGAGGTGTTTTTTTCTCGTTTTTCTTTGCCGTGTTGGCTGTTGTTTAATTCGTTTAAATAAGGGTACCCCAATCTTGCTCCGGTTATGCCGTCGGCATTCGCTGAGGTTGCTTTTCTTTGCTTTTTGCGTCGGATGCAAGAAGGAGAGCCGAACTCCGTTCGCGCCCAAAGACTTTGCCGCGGCTCTGGCCTCCCCTTCCGCGGCAGGTGCTGTGGCATGGCAAGGCGCAGAAGTCCAAGCGGCTGTGCGTCGTGAACGGGGCGCCTGGGATTGGAGAAAAATGAGACGAGCGGAGCGGGTCGCCGAATTCCCATGGTGGCAATTCCCATGGGGCACCGAATTCCCTGGGGATGGTTGCGAACACCATTTCGCACCACCTAAGAAACCATGGTTGAAGCCCTGGTTGGTCGGTATTTGCAGGGGAATGATCCTTCGGGTTTCTTGGGTGGTGCAGGATTTCGCCCATGCACAGGTGGTGAAAATCCTAGCTGGTATACTTAGATGGTATACTAGTGAGAAACAAGTCATGGCTCCACCCTTAAGCGGGTTGGTAGAACCAAAAGCCGATAGGTTTTGGGTGCTGCTCGTTGGCCCTTCTATGACGAGCTCAAAGATGTAGGTCTCACTCTTGCAGAGTTTGCTGATGGATGCTAGCCACCTGGCGCTCCTTCGGGTGGTGTGGCGGCGGCAATTATTGCCATGGTTGGCGGGATTTATTGGGCATGTCAAGCCACGGCCACGGCCCACGCAAAAGACCTTTGGCTCTGGGTCAAAAATAGAGTTCCCCCAAAAATGGAACCCTGGTACACGGAAACAAGGGCGAACACCTGCGGTCCGGTGGACCCATACCCATTTGGTCACCAAACACTTGTCACTGGTTACTTTCGCTGACTGGAGGATGTGCCTCTTTTTTATCGGGGTGACTCAGCGATTTGTTCTTTTGGGGAATTCTGCGTGCAGTCGGCCATGACCTGCGGCAACCTGCTTGGAGCCAAGGATGTGCCGGTTCTGCGGGTAGAGTTCGAGGAGGCGGGGAGCGGTAGTTGCTAAGTGGCAAGTGGGCGCTGTTTTTAAGGGTACCCTCCTCTCCGCTGCCATGGAACCCACCAGAGTGTGATTTTCCCTTTTAAATAAATATAGTCTTCCAGGAGCCCTCAGACAGGTTCCATACCCGACAACGTATCCCATGTGGCATTGTTTTAGAGGAACGTCAAAAATAATTCCATTGCGGCGATGGGCAAATTCCACAGGCAGCAGCTGGTAGGTGGCTTCTGCCGGTATGCCGTTGTATTCGCAGGTTCTCTTCACCGAGGCTTCAATGACAACTTTTCGGAACGTAAGTAGATCCATGTCAGGCGTGCTTCGTCGTAATCGGTCTAAGGTGCCGGCTTGAGTTACCGAGATCTTGGGCGGATTCCTCGGAATGTCACATAGGTGTCCTTTTTGGTTGTTTTGGTCGAAAAATAGATGGCGATTCCTGGTTTACCTGGTGGTTTAATCATCTACCAGGGCCATCTGTTTCCTCTAAATGCTACGTGCCGTTGCTTTTTGGTTGGGCCCTGGCCTCGCGGCCGCAGGGCGAGGTGGACTTCCTTCCCCCGGCGAAGCTGCGCTGGGGCCTTGACCCCGGCGACGTGGCCGCGGAGATGCACTTCGCGGTCTTCGTGCGCTTCGGCGGAGCTGGTGGGGCGGGCCGTGGGTTTGTGCCATGGGGGAGGCCATGGGCCGAAATTGGGGCTTGTCATGAAACCACCTACCAATCTGATTCTTCCATTGGATATCTCTCCATTATCCTAGTTGGTAGGTGGTTGCCAAAATCGCAGATCATCACACCTGGCATTTGCGGCCCTCGCGCAAGATACATTAGCATGGAGGGCACCAGCAGATTGCCAAGGCTTTCGCCCTTCACGGCGAAAGATCAAGCCTCTGGCGGCTCACTGGCGAGGCTGGGCCCGGCTCGTCTTGCCCGGATCGGGCCGATTTTCCGTCAAAAGGGTGACAATAGATAGTAAATAGTAATAGATGCCTCCTGCTCATACCCCTTCCCGGCCTTCACAGCCGGGCCGCTCCCCGGGCGTGTCCGGGCCGTACTAGTCCAGCTCCCGGAGGCGTTGAGAGTTGCCGCTGGTTGGAGAGGTTGCCTGGGGTTCTAACCGGACGAAGCAGCTTTATTGGGTGGGGTGCTGATGGGAGCCGTTGGGTTTCGGAAGGCTTCCGGGGTATGGAGCGGTTGTTGAACGGTTTTTCAAAAGGTTCTGAGGGGCTCAGGGAGTTGGAAAGCCTTTGGCTAGGGTTCCCAACTGATTTTGGTGGTTGCTGTTGGGGATAGTCACCTGTCATGGTGGCTTTTCTCCGAAGGGTGTCTTGCCAACCAACCTCATATCGGGCGTGCACTTCTTTTGGGGACGGGGGCATGCACAACCACACCCAAGAAAAAGGAGTATTTCCTTGGTGAACCCCACCGTTTGACTGGTTTGAACCCCAGGAGAAGGGGGCAAATGCCCTTATCTGACCTCTTCTTCTTCTTCAAGGTGGCTCCCCTAGCTTGTTTTACAAGCAAGTTCGGCTCAGGTTTCCGAGGAGCATCCTCAACAACTGAACAGCAACTTCGGGGGGAACCTGCCTGGAATACTCTGTCCCAGCGCGTGGGGTAAGACCCCATAGCTTTCCGGCTGGGTAATTTTGGGACCCTGATCCACGTCTTACCCAATGCTTCTTTAGGCGTTTGGCGCTTGGCGCCTTCACCATTTCAGCCCTGCCAGCGAAGGTCGGTCGGTCCGCGCGGTCCGCGGGTGCCTCTCTCACAGCCGAAGCTCTTTTGGCCTTCGCAGGTTGGAGACCACGGTGCAGGACTGCGGCCTGCAGCTTCACTGCTCCGGCTGCCGCACCAGCGTGAGCCACGGCAAAAGGTCGGAAGCTGTTTTGGTTTTGGGCAGGATCTCGAAACCCTTGCAATGTCGAACCTGGATTCAACAGCCTCTTGGATGATTTTGTCATGGAACCTGACAGTTGGTCGTCCCTTAAGGAGCGGCATTGTGCTCCAAAGGGCGCTCGAAGTGCTTGGAGCATGGTAATTGTAAAGTTGTTCACGCTGATCGTTTGTGCCTGTCGCTTACAAAAGGGATTTCCCTCTGGGTAAAGCCAGTTTCTACATGGTGATTTTTGAGTGCATCCAATCAAACGATCACTTTTACCAGCTCTAAAACAATCCCTTGTAGAGCAGGGGGTGGAACAGGTGAATCCTGAAGCACTTGTTTTCTCGGTAAAACCCTTCCCACCCGAGTGGGTTAAGGATCCCCCTGGTGCTGGGCGGCGATGCCTCCGGCGCGCGCCTGGCCGCCTTCGTGCAGACCTCGTCGAATGCGTCGGGGGAGTGGTGGATGCCGTTCTACGGGGCGGAGACGAGGGCGGAGGTGCCGGGGTTGCTGGAGCAACTGCAGCAGGCGGGCAAACAGAGATCCCTCAAACAGAACCCTTGCCGAATGAACTTTTTCTTTTTTTTTGGGGGGTTAACACGGAAGCCGGAAAGGGGGCGGCTACCAAGAAAAAAGTGTCCTCTATGGGTGCTTTCTGGTTTCCACGTGAAAGGAGGGTCAGCAGGATCAGGGGGAGGATGTGCAGCCACTCCCCGATGGGGTGTAGCCCCCTGTCTCTAGGGTCAACAAGATGCATGGAATGCACCATCCACCTGAGCCACCTTCAAAACCCGGGCAAGTGAAGGTCAGTGACAGATTCCCTCTTGGTTCTTGAGAGGGCACCCCAGGTTTTGATTGTGACTCACCTTGCAACTTGGGAACCCGAAGGCTACCAACCCCCAAAAGGGGCTCTCTCTGCAATACCGGGCCTATATTTTTCCCAGGTCAGTTGCTTCCATGCGGGGATTGCTGGAGAGGGGCATCCGTGCCAGGATATGAGCACGTGGACGGCGCACTGGTCCGAGGGCACGCAGGCCGGCAGGCCTCCATACCACCGACTAGTGACTAAAGGGAAGCAACATCTATGAGCAACTCACTTGCCCAAAGCAACTCGACCTTTTGACCTCTCTGTGTTCCTGGTGTCAACCCCCGTGGATCCGATTCATATTTCGGATGATACTGTGGATGAATGAAATTTATTTCGCACCCCAGATTCCCTGGAATGATTCGATTCCCCCTGAAAGTGCCAGGAACCGTTCTGGCTTCGTTTCAACCATGGTGTCTGACCGTTGGTGCGATTTCGGGTTTTGATTTCAAGTCCGGATCCCCTTAGCTTTGTAGCTTTTTAGTTGGTTTAGTGGTTGGATGTCCACTTCACCCCCCAAACGTTAGTCACGTTGAGCCAGGGATCTAAGGGCCCGGTCCCCGGTGACCGTCGAGAACTGTGGGTCAACACCACTGATACCATCTTGGTTGGTAGCTGAATTCACCACCCATTTTAGAACCGATTTTAGTGGTCGGATTGAAGCGGATGTTCACTGGAAGTACGATTTGGGCTTTGACCCATGGCCACACACACATATATATATATATATATATATATATGTATATATATGTATATATTTGTATTAATAAACATGGGCTCCAAGGCAAGCCTAAGGCAAGTACACCCGGACGGCACGCATAGCCTCATGGCCAGGGTTTGGTGACGCTGGGCCCAGCTGCGGCGAAGTTGGGCCAGGGCTTCCTGGGATCGGCGCTGGGCGCGTCGCAGCCCACCTGGGAGCTGCGCCTGCAGTCGCCCAGCGGCGAGGCGAGCGCGGGGGGTGAAGGTTTTGGGGGGGGGGGGTTGGGTGGGGCAGGGGTTTGGGGTTTGGAGTTGCTGGCTCTGCCTGGCCAAAATCGAGCTTCGATGATGTTCACTTGGGCCCCTTTGACTCTGCTGGCTCGGACCCTTTTTGGCTGCAACCTCAGGTGGTTGGCTGATCTGGGGGGGAGTGGTTCGGGCCCGGCCCCGGGCTTTGGCTTCCGGAGGCCGGCGAACTCCTGCAGGGGCAATGCGTCTTGTACAAGGGTGAGCGGCCTGGCCCCAGAGAGCGAGTGGCCCATGGGGCCCATGCGGACCCAGGGTCCCGTGGCCAGCCAGTGATGCCAAGCCAAAGGCCGTGCTCAATGCTTTGGATATCTTTTTTTCTTTTTTTTTTTCCCCAGGGGGCTTTGAGATGCTTCGAGCGTGTGGCTGCTGGAATCATTGGCGCAATGTGTCGAACATATGTGGGCCCGGAAGTTGCAGCGAGTTCCAATAGGACCAAAATCGAGGGGTCCAGCACCCCCATGCTCAAACGCCCCCCCTTACTTGGGGTTAGTGGGGCTGGCCATGGACCCTTAGTAGGGATTGTTGACAACCACCGCAAAGTTGTAAGGGTCCCCACAACGAGAGCACCTTGTGACCTTGACCATGGTAAGCGTGGTTTTGGCACCCTTTTTGAAGCCAGGCACGTCGCCGCTTCTCTGGTCCGCGAGAAAAAAAAGACTCACTCTGTTTTTTTTTTACAAAAAAAAGGGGGACAAAAAACGGCGAATTCGCTCAGGCTCCCGCGCCGGGATGTTTGGGTGGACGGGGAGGAGTACCGCTTGGTGGATCCGCGCCCGGCCTTGAGCACCTGGGCGTTTCAAGCGGAGTGCGGGGAGGGCGGGTCTTGCACGTACTACCGGGGGGTTCTTGGATTCTCAAACCTGCACTTGGGGGGGAGGGCTTGGCAGTTGACGTTTTTGGCTCATTTGCCAAACGCCGATGTTTTGATCTTTGGATTTTTCATGTTTCTCAGCTTTGGCCAAAAGGTTCCTGTCCTTCGGGTAGGTTGGACGTGTCCTTAAACGCTTGGTTTTGGCCTCTTGTTTGTCGCGGTTTCTTTTTTGCCCGTTCTTCAAACACATGCTGCTTTTAACAAATCCCGTGGACACGCCCCCGCAAACTCGCATTGAACAGTGCAGTCTTCCACGCCGAGTTTGTGCAGAGAAAGCAAAGCGTTGTTTGCGTTCCATGATGACCTGCAAGGGTTGTCCCATCCCCAATCTAAATATGAAATCGCGTGGGGTATATGGCACCAGTCCAGTTCGTTCGAGACTCGGTTTCCTTGGACGACCCGTTCTTCATTTGACCTGGCTGTACCCTTCTTTGAGGGCACCCCACTTTTTTTGGCGGTTTTAAAGCTGAAGCGAAAAAGGACAGGGTGCTCCAACCTTTTTCCTTTTGAGGGCTCCCCAAAAAGGAATTCTTGAATTTGTCTTGAGCTTCCCCAGAAAGGAAAGGAAATTGTTTTTGAGGGCAGCCCAAAAGGAAAGCCGGTGGCGCGCCCCGCCGTTTTGGTGTAGGGGAGCCGGGCTGGCGGCTGAACCTGGAGATGGCCTATGCGCTGGACGGGCTGGGCTCGGTCGCCTTTCTTTTTTGGAGGCCTCGTGTTTTTTTTTTGGGGGTGGTGATTTTTTGAAGGGAACCCACGAGGAAGCCACAAGCAACATTTTAGGGGGCTGGTGGTGGTTTTCCTTTTTTTGGGTTATTTGAAGTAGATGGTAAAGACACCCCGCGGAACAGCACCAAGCCACCAAGCTGACCTATGCTTGTCAAGGGTCGATGGGCTGTTTCCCCAATCCCAATTTTGAGTCTGACTCCTTTTGGGACCATTTCCCCTCTTTGGGGGGCCGCTGCGTAAAACATGTTACAGGTAACCCAACAGGAAGCCACCCATTTTCAAAGGTCACAAGGGAGCCTCTTTTTTTTGGCTGATGGTTTGCAGGGCAGGGTGCGTGTATTTCTCGGGTGGCTTAAGGGTACAATGGTTCGGTGGCTTAAGGGACGCCCCCGAACCCAAACACAGGCCTAAATAAGTCATACTGTGGATGGACGAAATCCTGCACCACTTTGAAACCATGGGAAACCATTGTTGGTTGGTATATTTGCAGGGGAATCATCATTCCAGGGTTTCTTAGGTGGTGCAGGATTTCGTCCATCCACAGTACTTTTCTCAAGAACTTTCCCCACAAGTTCTTCTTCCTAACAAGGCATGTGTACTTCTTCGTTTGAGGTTCAGATATGAGGCTGAGAAGCATGCATGGGCCGACCGTTAAGCAAGGAGATTAAGTGTGACTCGTCGCGTCAGTGGGATTTTGAGCTTTTCCCTTAGATCTTGCAGCCTAAGGTGAGCTCGCGGGATAAGTTCGTTCAGTTTCTGGGAGCTCTCGTGGGGCGTTGGCTTGAGGTAGTGGACATAGGATGCTGTACGGAATTTCGTTGCCATTGGGCAAAGAGAGGTCTCCGCATTTGCAGGTCAGAAGGGTGAACCACATTGGTCACTGTTTGGCCGGAAATGTTCCAGTGCGGTTGTGGCTTGGGTGGTTCTTGTGAGCCCGCCTCAGGTTGTGCAGCGCTTGAGCTGTTCAGTGCCTCGGGCCGTCAGGAGATGATGGCCCAACAGCTCCGCTCCAGCTCTTTGGCGTCGCTAGGCAGGGCAGGGGAGATGTGCGTGGTGGCCTGCCTCTGTCTTTCGTTTGTTCGTAGGTACCTTTGTCCGCCCGTTCGTGCCTGACATTTCTTCCTTCCTGTCTTCCTGGCTTCCTGCCTTCCCTCCTTCCTTCATCCTCGGCTACGGAATGGAATCAGCGACCCAGCTGGGCGTCTCTCCGCTTTTGCCTTTCTGCCTGGAGCTGCAACGGCGCTTCAGTGGGCTTCAGGTTGGCAGGCCGCCCCGTGGCTACATTGACTGCATGAACAAATGCAGGTCCTTCGAGGCCGAAGGAAGGAGAAAACGAGGGAAAGCGGTAGATCGATCCCCCAGACTGACCTTGAACCTTGATGTCACCCAGGCGGCCAGAACAAAAAAAACAAAAACACACACACACACACACGAACATTTGCCTTCGCCCTTCCATCAAAATCATCAAGATGTGATCAAACTTGGCCTCTTCAAAGGGACCCCCCCAAGAAAGAAAACCCACCTGAGGGAGGGCACCCGGAAGATCAGTTTCTTTTTGGAGGGAACCCCCTGTTGTTAGTGCGAGAGAGGGCAGGTCCAACAAAGGTGCCTTGAACAATTCCATTATAAAGCTTGCCTACTCGACAGATTGCGACTTCACGGTGTTTTTTTTGCCCCTCAAAGGGGGACCCATCCGAACTGCCCCCTCAAAGCAGAAGATCACAGGACATTTTGAGACCAGCAAAAAAGCCGGCGCCAGGCTCGACCCGGTCTCAAATCGTCGACTGGGTGGCGAAGATGCGGAAGATGGCCCTGGAGCTGGAGCCGCCGCCGTTCTTCGGCGAGACATCGGCGCGTTCAGGGGGCCTAAACGGTTGGTTTGGCTGTTTTGGCGGTTGGTTACTTAGTCGCTTAGTTAGTTGGTTAGGTAGTTAATGGGGGTGGGTGAGGCTTAAGGACTATTGTTTGAGACACCACTTGGAGATGGGGGCACTTTTCCCTTTTTGTTGGCACTTTCATGCACCTGTTTTTTGTTTTTTCATGGAACCGGTTGGGGATGGCTTCAGGGGAAGCCAAATGCAACATAATCGTTTTGGGGCTTCTTGCATTCACAGACATCCATTTTAGGTGTGTTAAACCCCCCTCAGAATACTTTTTTTTTTTTTTTTTTTCTTGGGGCTGGTCCCAAGCAACATCACACACGACGGGCTTTCTCTGGGGGAGTTATCTCGTCTTGCGTGGTAGGGTGGGCTTGGACAATCCTTGTTTGACCTTGGCAAGGCATGAAACCAAGCGACACGTGGCACGGAAAGCTGCCCGCCTCGCTTTTCGAGGCTCGTCAAGCAGGAGCTGGAGGCTTGGCGCAGGCGGGGGCGGAGCCTAAACAGCGTGGCTGTTTCTCTTCATGTTCGTTGTGACGTCGTCCCCCCACTTTTGGCCAAATCATCAAGGGGGACCCGCTTTTCTTCCCCCAACCCCGTTGTGTGACATGGCCAGAAACCAATGTGTCTCCTCAGTTGCTCATGTTTCATACTTTTCTCCGAAGGACATGCAACTGGGCAAGTTGATTTCTCCAGACCCATTGGGGTTTGTCTCTAAATAGCCAAATCAAATCTCTTTCCTTCACCCTTTGCATTTGCTTGCACAAAACCTTTTTTTTCCCCTCCCGGCACCCCACAAAATGAACAGAACCAAACCGGCCTAAAAGCCAAAAAGCAACAGAGAGAAACACCTAGAAAACAACAAACACTTAAAAACCTAAAAACAAAAGCACCTAAAACTTCTAACAAGCAACAGGCTTTTCGGAACCAAACCGCCCGCAGTGACGTTTCCCCTCCAGACATACCGAGAATCCCCTTGGCTCAGGCTGCCGCCCCCGGAGCTTGCAGGGCAGGTGGCCCGGCTGCGGGGCCTCACCTGCAGCCTCCAGCGCCGCTTGGGCCGAAAGCGACCGCGGCGAGGGCAGTTCGCCGAAGCCGAGCTTTTGATTGGGACGCTGCATGTTCAGATCCTGCGGTCTTTTTGGGGGGTCCCTAAAATGGACATTTTAGGGGACCCCCCCCAAATTGGGATATTATGCAGCCTTCGCCTAGAAACGGCAAAACCGTGCTTGTGGAAAACCCAACCTCCCAGGAGGTGGTTCCCCCCCCCCCTTTTTTTTTCTTCTCCTTTTTCCTCTTTTGTGGGTCTAACGGGAAGCCAAGAGGAAACCACCGCCATTTTGGGGGCTAGGGGCTACGAATTTAGGTCAGGAACCTCGGATCATGTCCACCCCAGGGCTCCACATATATAAAACAATCACCCCATATTGCCCCTTCTCAGACGCCTTTTGGCTTCCCTTCCTTCCACCCCCCCCCCCCCCGTCCCTTTTGCTTTTTGGTGGGATGGGGGGGGACCTTACTAGAAGCACACCACGCCGCTTTGTGGCTGAAAGCCCGGGATACAGCGCACCCTCGAGAAAACGGTACCCGGTAGATGCGCTGGTGGATCCTCTGGTCCTTTTGTACTACTCCTTTTGTACTACTCCTTTTGTACTACTCCTTTTTTTATTACTCTTGTTTCTATGGTACAGGGGATCCACAGATTCCATAATGTTACGAATAGGTGGGTGTCCCTGAGTTCAGTGGGGAATCAGACGACTTTTGGAGGGGAACACCCCCCACCCCGCTACCACCAAACTGGGGTTGATGAATCCGGGGTCAACATTACTTGGATGGCTTCTTTTCCTGATCGGTTTTGCTTAGCACCTCACTGCTCCCCTTTCCCCAGGGTTCCAATTTGGGGTATGTATTTTTGACCCAGTCGAGAGATCCGAGGCCTGGCCAACTCCTTGGACGAGGCCGCGGAGCTGCAGCGCGCCGCGGAGCAGGCGGACTCGGAGGGAGATCCGGAAGGGCCTGGTGGCAGCCGGAAGTTGCAAACATACAATTTTATGTACACCTCCAAACGTAAATATATATATATATATATATATATATATATATTATATATATATTATATATATATATATATATGTTTTCTATCTGTATCTACATACATGTGCATACATATATGCAACTAGTTTATGCATCACCGACTTTTGACGATCCTTCGCCAGGAACCCTCCAGCGCTGCCTGGCTGCGCCGCGCCTCGGAGATGAAGTACGGTGCCAAGGCGTGGGGCCAAAGGGCCCGGTGCTGGTTTTTGGGTGTGGGGGGGGGGGGGGCAAGCCCGAAGCCAAAGGGAAGGGACTCGGACTTGGGGCCTAAACATTTTCAGCACACATGCATGATGCCAGAAATGATCTATTGTAACGGGCGGGTTTTGGATATAGGCTCTTCGTTTGTGACCTTTGCCTTTCCCCTCCCACCAGCAAACGTGGAAGTGCACAGGATTTTCTTCCAAAAGAACGGAGTCTTGCATGCGGGGTCGGCGAGTTTCTATGTTTCTTGGTAGGCTAAGGCGGCCAAGGAGAGCAACTGGAGATTTGCGAGCTTTGTCACCCTGCTGGAGCAGGTTAAAAGTAGATCGCCCCCTCTTTGTGTGAGGCAGCGCTAGCTGCCTGGATCCCTTATTTTGCATTGTCCCATGCTGGTTTGGACTTGGCAGTGCTCTGAGCTGGGGGGGATCGCACTGTTGAAGCGCTGAATCCAACTGGCTTAACTGGCTGTGAGCGCCCAAAAAGCTTGTTGGCCAACCTGGGAAAGGGCTTTGGTAGGGCTCAGGGTGGCATGAGCCTCGGTCATAGCGCATTCGGTCAGATGTGGCGCCCATTTCAGCTTCTGCGCGAGGCCCTCCAACGTGCCAAGATCGACCCCCCGGAGGATCACCAGGACTATTTGCCACCTCTCGAACATGGCCGCGGTTGGTTGATTGCGTGGGTGAGCGGGTGGGATGTGTGTGTGTGTGTAAGCATGTGTTCCCAGTAGTTTTGGCCTGGTGCCAACAAAATCGGTTGTCCATTGGCAGGACCAGTGGTGCCAACAACTGGAGACATTGACCGAGCTGGACATCTCTGGAGTGGGTGGGCCGCCACTATGATGCAGCCAGAGGGATGTTGCACAGCCTGTTGAAGTGGTCTCCTCTCTTTTTCTTTGTGTTTTCAGGTGGCCGAAATTGCTTTTGGGCCCCAGAAGTGACGTCCTAGAAGCCAGCCCGAGCCCGGCGGCTCACAGCCGTCAACCGACCCCCAAGATGCAACCAGTTTGTCTCGTTCATCGCCGGGGCATGTTGGATGCGGGACCTGAGGATCTCCATGTTGACTGGCTGCTCAAGCCTGGAGCACCTTAGAGAAATGCAGAAGCTGGCGCCGGAGCTCAAGACTCCTGGCTCTTGGGCAGCTGGAAATGCCTACTCTACATACCCTGTTCGTAGGGCATGGTCTTTTGTTTTCCAGCAGCTGAAAGGTGGGTATTGGTGTACGGGGGTGGTTTCCCCTGCTGTGGCCAATCAGTAGGGGGTTTGGTCTTCATGAGGCACAGCCTGGACCCAATTCCCATTTGTAACGCAGAAACCACTAAAAAGGGATCTCACTGAGAAGGGACCCCCCCAAAAAAGAGTAAGGGGTGGGAGGGGGGCCTTATCAATCAGGGGGTCGGCATGGGAACGACCCCCTTCCATCAGGGCAAACATCAATTATAAGGAGGAATGAAACTCCAATGTTCCCTGAGAGCAAGCAGGGCAGTGGAAGATAAGATGCCCAACAAACCCACAAGGGATTGTGCTTCGGACGCTCAAAGGCGCAAGGTCCGAGCCATGCATTAATCTCGAGGGCATCCGCAATTTAAATAGGGGCTATTAGCGACTAATATGGCCCATTAGGGGCCCATACAGTTCCTGGTTGGCTTCCTTGGATTGTACATCCCATTGCCCAGGTAGTCAAGTGAAGGGGTAGTGGACACTGGAGACTCCCTTCAAAAGTGGCAGTACATACCACAAACAACCTAAATGATGGCCAAATCATGCCTTCCTTCCTGTTTTGCCAATCTTTTGGTTTGACCTTGAACCTATTTTAGCCAGCCCCTGAAACCATGAACCATGTTGCCGACTTGAACAATCACTTGAACCATGTGGCCGCGTCTTTTTTTTTTCCTTAAGGGAACCCCCAAAATGGCTTCACGGCGTTCTCCTCTTGGAGGGTGCCCCGCTTCGCTTCCGCTCGCTCGCCTCGCTTTGGTCCGAGGAAGCTGCGGCCCCAGGAGGCGGTCTACGCCTCCGGCGCCGTGGGGCTGCAGCTGCGCTGCCGCCGCAGCGACGCCGCGGAGGTGGAGCCCTGGCCCCTTGGAGCCGTCAGCCCGGCTGCCATTTGGTGAGGAGTGTTTTTATTTTCCCCTCTTGGTTTTAAGTTGTAGAAAAATCCAGGGGACTTAAGCAAATGGAGGCCAGGGGGTTTGGCTGAGGAGGTGGAGGTGGATGGTCAAGGTATTTTTCCAGGGGACTTGTTCCGGCTTGTTTTTCTTGCCTGGGTGTGTTTCTAGTTTTGGAGGTGAAAGGGGGCAATCTCTAGTTTGAAGCCGCCATTTTGAGGGTTCCAGAAGTTAGACACCAGAATTCAGTGTGAATGCTTCATTTGGCTGGGCTCGATGTAAGGGAACACATCGGGTTCTGTTTAGAAGTTGCAGAGACTGGCAAATTGCAGACAGGCTTCAGGCAAGGGTGCAGGGAGCGCACGCAGTTGAGGCTTCTCTTGGTGGAGCATGTGCTGGCCTGAGACGAGGAGTTTGAGTGTCTTCACCAGCTTGCGGCCCTCCCTTTTAGCCGGGGTTGTGCTTTGGCCCCCCCTTGTGTGGGCCAAGTTCGGTCAAGTCTCTTCTTTCAAAGGCTTCACTGTGGCAAGGTCGCTGTGTCCTGGGCCGACACTGCCAGTGCAGCCCTGAGCTTGGACGCGGGCCACAAGCTCCGCGACGCCGCCGGCGAGGAGGCGCCGGATGTGGCCGTCCTGGCGTTCTCGCCCCAGGACTGGCACGAGGGCACGCCTGTTTTTGGAACAAGTTGGTGAAAAGTTGCGGACAATTTGAGAGGGTTAGGGGTGGGTGCCCTGCAAACTCATGCAGCGCTTTGAGTCAGGAAGCTTATCGATGGTGCTGACCTCAGGTCTCTGCAGACCCCACTTGGCTGTTGGACCTGTCCGCAGGTTCATACACTCCGCCATGCACAAGAGCGCTTCACCTGCATTAGGGCTGAGCGTCATCCGCTCCACGAGTGGGATATTGGGCAGGCGGTAAGGTTTGAGCTAGGTGAGGCATTTCGATGTTCATTCGTGCCTTGCTGCATTGCTTCTGTGATGCCGGTGTGAAAGGCTTGCCGCCAGCTAGACTGAGGCTACCTGGGGATGGTCTTTGCGCGAAACCCTTTGTGCCAGGTGCCAGGCCGGATGGGGGTGGCAGCAATTCTGGGTACGGAAGGGGTCCCTGCCCCGTCTTTGAGCCACGCTACCTAGACTGAGCAGATGTTTCTGGAGCCCGCCAATCAGCCCAATTTGCTGAGCTCTTGACTGTCATGGGGTCGCATGAGCCATAGGGTGCTCGAGCCAGAGGCTGGCTCGGCGGCAGTAGGATCCAAAACCTCCCCCTTCCCCCAAACCCCTCCCCCCAACCCCTCCCCCAACCCCTCCCCCAACCCTCCCCCAACCACTCCCCCATGTCCCAAACACATCAACCAACTTTCCCCCGTTCCGCAACCGTCAGGCCAGCACATGGCGCTGCCGGTGATCCTCTGGGTGAAGACGGCGGAGCTTCTCATCGGCCGCGCGCCCCGGGACCGCGCAGGCGAAGTGCCGCCGCAGGAGCGGACCAATGCGGTGACTGACACGGGTTTGGAGGGGTTGTGGCTTGCGTGCTTGCTTGCTTCATTGGTTTGGTTTTGTGCTGTGCTTTGTTTGTTTGTTTGTTTGTTTGTTTGTTTGTTTGTTTGTGCTTCAAGTTTTGGAAGAATGTCCTTTTCTGGGTGGATCCCTACATTTGTTGCCATTGGAATCAACTGTTTTGGGCCATGGTCAAGGGACATGGGTCAGTGGGTCGGACTAGAACAAATCTAGATGCTTCCTACAAAGGGGCCACGACGCTGGCACGCCTTAGCTGGGTTGCTTTTACGCAAGTGGGTCCTACTTAAAGGGGCAGGGTACTTAGTAAGTGGGTGACAACCATGGTTATAACCCATTTATCATTATAACTCGGGTTGTTGCCCACTTTCTAAGTACCCTTGCAGGTTCGCCGTACAATCCTGCGGCCTTTGTCCGCAGGAGGCTGACTGGTTCCGAGCGATGCTGCGAATCCACTTGGAGGCTTCCAAGACAGCGCAGCATTTGGTGCAAGGAAGAGGCAGGGCAGACTGCGTGTTCTAAGGATGTTCCTGTTACAGACGTGTGCGTAGTTACAAAGGGTTGGGCTTCATGAATTCTACAGGAAAACAGCTTATTTGGGGTGCTTTGGGGCCATTTCCTGTAGATTTTCCTGTACCTGTATCCAAACCCTTTGAGAGTTGTAAGCGGCCATTGCAAGAGTTCCTGTTACGGGTGCCTTGGCCACTGAGTTGCCGTGCCAAATCGAAGCTGGGAGTTGGGAAACATCGTCGTGTTTTGCCGCCTCACCTCCCAAATTTAATACAGGGCTTAGGGGGGAGATCCACATCCTTCAAGAACCCTTTTACCCTTTTTAGCCCTTTTAAGAGCAATGTACTAGATCTCTCGACTCAGTGTGTAGATGTCTCCCTCCCTGCTGTGTTGCACATGTTACATACGCCTGCGGTAGCACCTGCATCTTCGAAAGAGCCCCCAGTCTGTTTTCCAATTACGGGCGGCTTCCTTGTCTTGTGGGCAAGGCTCCTTCGAAGTGCTGGCAGATGCACTGGCGTCGGCGGATCCCACCGGAGCGCTCACGGAGGCAGAAGGAGCTGTGCCAACCGGGTGAGACGAAGCCCGCCCGCTGTCCACAGGCTTCCAGTAATCGGGTTGGCCTGTCGCAAAGAATTTCGTAGGTGGGGCACCTTCCTTTGCCAGAGGCTTGAAAGGACCAGTTTTTCCTTCTTTTTTTTTTTTTTTTTTTTTTTTTGTGGGGGGCCGGCAATAACGAGCTCCGAGTCCGTTGGTTCATGCCAGGAGGTCCGCAGTCCGTCTGCTTGGCGCTGGCTGCCTGCTGCTTCAGCAAGAAGGCGCAGCCTGCCTTCTGGGGCAAGCGCAGCCTGGAGACGCTTGCCGGGAGATGGGTCTGTCATTTGTTTGAGTCTACTCTCTTTTTTTTGGGGGCAAAGGAACAGAAACCAAGAGGAAAACTCACCACATTGGTTTTTGGGGGTGGGGTTTTTGAAAGGAAACCACCAGGAGAACCCACCATATTGTTCTTTTTTGGGGTTGGGCTGTTGAAAGGAAGCCAGCAGGACAACTTATGCCATTGTTTTTCTTTTTTTGTTGGTTGTTGAAAGGGAACCACCAGCAAAGACGCACCCATGTGCTTTGCTTCTGACTGCTTTCCCCGCCCAAGACATCCGAGCCAAGGAGAACGAGCTCCTTGACATTGCAGCGCCCCTGCCTCGGGTCACTCTCAAGCCTCGGGAGGTCACCGCCTCGTTGCCTTTGAGGTGCCAACTCTCGGACCCTCACTCCCGATGCCGTTAAAGACGAGGCGCGGCCCCTTGCGAGGGCCGTTGGGGGTCGGCACAGTGCGGTGTTGCCCCTGGTTTCCTTTTTTTTGTTTTTTGTTTTTGTTTTTGTTTGGGGGGGGGTGGTTTTAAAGCAGGGCGAGCAGAACACACGAACGCGACAAAAAGACTGAGCAAACTCCAGGTTGAGTGGGGGCCCCGGATTCGCTGGGATCCGCAGGATCCGGCTGCATGGCCGCGGCGTTTGCGCACCTTGGCTCTGGCGATGATGGCCGAGGCTTGGGTGAAAAGGACGCGCCACAATCAATAGCTTGGCCCAAAGACCACAGGTGTCCTTTTTAGGTGAGCCTGGTTAAAAATAGATGGCACTGGTTTAGATGGGTTTTGTTCCATTTACCAGGGCCATCAATTTGTTTACATTTTTACAAAAGGCGACCTATGCCACAGACCAATTGAAGGTTGGAAATGCAAGATTTGATCCAGGGGGTCCTTTGACACTGCTGCGCTTTGGCAGCTTCGGCAGCGGGGACAAAGCCACGCCATACCCCCCCGCAGGCCGTGTCGCGAGCCTGCCGGCGGCTGGTGCGCTCGCTATGCGCGCCGGGCATGTTTGCTTTTTCTCCTCCAAGTTGTCCCCATATACTTCCCCCAGTTCATTTTTGGTGCGTTGAGCATCACCTTCCTGGTCCGATGTAAAACATTGCTGCGCTGGGGTGATGTCCACTCCCCTTCAGCGCGCGTCGCCCCGTTCCGCGGCCCAGGCAGCACGACTGGAGACTCCGAGGCCCAGGTCTCCAAGAAGCTGCTTTGGGATGCTCTTGGCCTTGGACTTAGCCTCCGACCTGCAGCTTTCGCAGATCTCCGGGATCTCATTTGAAGGCCTTACGTCCAGTTCCGTGTGCATGTTGGGGCCGCCACGGCTAGGGCTGCCCCGGAGTGCCTCCAAGCGGGTTTTCGGCGCAGGGGAAGCTAACATGGAGCCATCATGGAAACAGGAGAGCCTCAGTCTTGGCAACTTTCTGATTTGGGCGTCGAACGACTGCAACGAGATCGTCTATCTTCTGGAGAGTTTGGCGTGGGAGCGCGGGGTTTCGAAGATTGGAGCTTTGGGCTTGCACGACTGCCCTTCTCAGGGGAGGGCAAGTTGGTTGCCAACTCTGCGCGACAAACCGGGAAGTCAGGGTTTGGTGATTCTCCAGTTCTACTCGTAGTTCACCCAAGTTCCATCAAAAGGAATCATCCGTTACTTATATTGTAAAGTTCTACGTTGTTCCCTCTGTCTGAGGCTGTGCCCTTTCTGGGCAAGCCCGTGGGGTTTTGTGGCGTTGGATAGCATTGGATAGCATTCGGTGGGGATTCCTGTCCCCCAGCCACTGTTCGGTTCGGCTGAGGTCTGCATGGCTCCGTCGCTGAGGTGGAACCGGAGGGGCAACTGGACGATCCGAAGCTGGCGAAGCTTGTGGTTCGGCGGCGTTAAGCCACCGGATCGGACGGCAAACGTTTGTCGCACGCGAGCGTAGTGGACTGCGGTCATTTTTTTAAATCAACCAGCCAGCCAGCCAGCCAGCCAGCCAGCCAGCCAGCCAGCCAGTCAGTGAGTCAGTCAGTCAGTCAGTGAGTCAGTCCATCCATCAATCAATGCTTCACGAGGGGGTCACGGCTCAAGGAACTCGACCATCTAGGTAAGTTTCCATGATTGTTGGAAAGAGGGTCGATCATTTGTGTGTGCTTGTCCTTTTTCTTTTGAGATTTGTCTTGCTGAAAGCGGCGTTGTGAGCTATTGCTTTCAGTAGCGCTCAGGGCACTGACCCTGCTTCCAGTCGACTGTAGGTTATCGAAATAGTGGCCTTTGCCCTTGAGTGCCCACCCCTTTTTAAAGAAAGTCCACGCACAGCTTTCGAGAGGCGTTTTCCCGCTGCACAGTCTTGCGTGCGAATTGGACTTGCTGAACCCTTCACGTTAGCCAAGGAAGGTCACTCCGATGACTGCGACATCGCTCACGTCCAGCGACGCTCCGCTCTGCTCTTTGCCCCTCAGGGGAAGTACTTCCAGGCTGGGGAACTGCGAGGTTCCGCACTGCCGGCTTGCAGCGTAGAGCCAGGTACCTAGTCTACTAGTAGTCGGTGAATGCCTTTGTTAATATATATATATATGTATATCATATTATATGTGGCTACTCCCCCAGTTGCCAAGTACCCGGCCCCAAGACAAGCAACTGGACGCATGGTGAGGGACATGGCATGGGGTGTGTGCTTTCGGGCCGATGCGAGGTCGCGCTGACGAACTGCACGCCGCAGGGCATAGCGTCTTGTCTCTGAACTGGGGGCGCAAGCCACAGCCTTGTGTTTGTTTGAGTACCCTTTTCACCTTGTTTCAAGCAAAAGTTTGGCACATGGTCTTGTGGTGCTGCGCCATTCAAGATGTCCGCTTTGCTTGAAGTGAGCTGACAGGACAAGGTGGGGTGTGGGGGCAGAAGGCGCTAGCCAGTCTAGGCAGGACCTTGTGATTCGCATTTGCAAGGTGGGAACTCTCATGATCCACATGGCCTGCATGCTGCAGAAAGCGGATGGCGATGAGTTGGTTGAAAAGCTTATGCAGCAGCAGCTTGGACGACATCTGAGCAACTGACAATACTGTTGATAGTGAACTGTTGCATGGGGCGATATCCCAAATTCACAAGAACTAGAGGGACCACATACTCCATGTCGTCTGGGGAATTTAGGAGGATCCAGCTGTGGGCAACGGTCTACATGTTGCGAAAGAGATGGCATTGGCATGGCCAGCACTCGCCTCGGCATATCCCTACATGCTTGCCAAACAAATAGTTGATATTGACCTGCGACTGCTCAGCATGTCCTGGCAACCACTCTACGGTTGATTCCTCAAAAGTGGAAAACAAAGAGCCTGCTGTTCAGCGTGTGTGGTTAGTTTAGTTGCTTTGACGCGCCTCAGTCGGCCCGAGGTTCTTTCAACGGGATATTTCCATGAAGGCCAGGGGGGTTCGCAGTTCGCGAAGCCATCTTAGCCCGAAACCCTGTTTTTGCCAGTACCTGGAGATTTCTTGGAGATTGTTTCTCAGAATTTGAGCTATAAAGAGGTGAGGCGAGCAATGTGGGGCAATATTTCAGATGCACAATCCAAGCAGTGCCATCTATTTCTGACCAAACTCACCTAAACTGGGATGGCTTGATGTTTGGGGTTGGCGAGGTGCTTCCTGGAGATGGTTTGAAAGAAGCAATCGGCACGGGGCTTCTCCCGCAGTTCACAACGTCGGCGCCCCTGGTTCGCTTTCTGGTTCGATACTGAGCCATCACTTGTAGAGGCCTACAGGGTGCCCAGGCCCAAAAGCATGCCGAACATGGCTCACGCCGAGACACCGACGAAAGGTGACTCCCCCCCTCTCCCTGGGCCTCCGATCCCCAAGAACCTGCAAGATTTGCAATCCCAACCTTCAAACATCCCAGCCATAAACATAGAACCTCACAGGAAGTTTCTGCAACACAAATTGTCCCTTAGAAGGGACCCTTGGTGGGCCCCATGCTACGAAGTGCGCCCAGTTGGCTTCACCAGTTAATTTCATCCAAGCCAGCACTTTGTTCTTTTGCAGAACCACTTCCTTTCTCCCACCACTGGTGGGTGGAGGGGGACCCTCCAGTTTGTTAGCTTGTTCAGGACCACTTGGGGCCGGCTGACGGGTGTGTTTGTCAGGCCTTCATCGAGGCAGTGCTGCCCGGGGACGTCTCCCCCGGCGCCGTGCAGGCGGCGCTCTACGCGCAGGGCCTCCGCTACTTCAGCGCCTCGAGCGATCGATGGATCGATGGATCGAGCGAGCCGCCGGTTGGGGTCAAATCGCGAGCAGACCCCAGGCTTTCAGTGGGTAGTGGGTGACCTGTCCCTTTTTCCCGTCTTCTTTTTTTTGGTGTGTATGGCGAACCCCGTTTGAAATCACCTACCCAAAAAAAGGCGGGGAGTTGTGTTAGAGGTTTCCCGGTGACAGCCTTTGAACACCAGCCGAAACAAGTTCAAAGCTTTGAAAGAGGTGCTCCCCTGAAAGTTTGCATGACACGCAACAAGGGGGTCCATTTCCCAAGAGGAGATTCGAAATACTCAGCAATGATGGCTCCTTGAGTTCCACGTTCATTTGCAGGAGGGTACTCATTGGGGTGTGTACTATGTTGATAGTACTCTTCTCAGGTTGGCAGAGAAGGAAACCGACAGGAACGCCGAAGTCCATTTTCGGCTTCCCCTAATAATCCAAACCCAGATTCCTCCCCTCCAAAAACAACAGCAAAACACCAAAGCAACCACACAACATGACAAAAAACTGGATCCCCCCCTCTTTTTCGTGACTCTTCCTGAACCTCTCCCGGCCCTCAGACCCCCCCCCTCCCCCAAAAAACACATAAAATGGCACTTCTAACATCAAACCCAAATAATCAAACAGCATACAACAAAATCAGCAAAATTCACAGAAAACAAGATAAGAACCACCAAGCAACTCAAAAACCAGAACAACCCCCAACAAAATATTTAATCAAAGCATACAACATTAAATAATTCAAACAAGCACACCAACAAAACAGCAAAAATAAAAACCATCAAAGAACCCAATCTCAAAAACACACAAAATCAAAAACAAAGCAACATACCAACAAAAAATATCAGAAGAGTATCAAACAAAATAAAATACAAACAGCCAAAGCACGAAAAAATCAAAAGAGCATACCAAGTTCAAACAACGCACTTTGAAAGAGTCAGCCAAATCAAGAAAAAATAAAATATTTCAATCTTTACAAACTATAAGTACAGTATAATTATAACATATAGAATTTTACATGTTATTATTATAGTATGAAACAAGCATAACTACATGCCCTACGTGTCAAACACACATGTCCTATGTGTCAAACACACATGCCCTATGTGTCAAACACACATACCCCTATGTGTCAAACACACATACCCCTATGTGTCAAACACACATACCCCTATGTGTCAAACACACATACCCCTATGTGTCAAACACACATACCCCTATGTGTCAAACACACATACCCCTATGTGTCAAACACACATACCCCTATGTGTCAAACACACATGCCATATGTGTCAAACACACATGCCCTATGTGTCAAACACACTTGCCCTATGTGTCAAACACTCATTAAAATTTCACTGATAAGATTTTCGGGTATTCTGTATAGGTCTTCCTGTTTATGTATTGTTGGATTGTCTCCCCATTTTTCCTTGTTTCCATTTGGCAGTCTCTGCGCAGTTTCAATATGTTTATTATTCCTGATGTTGCCACAATCTTTTTTACATAAATCTCTAGGTTTCCAAGTTGCAATGTTATTCCAAAGCCTAGTTCTCTTTCTGTAAGGCATTCCATATTTACAATAATCTACATCTTTAAATCAAACTCATCCATAAACTCCTGATTTTTTAATAATCCAGTTTGTGGATTTTCGATTACAAAATATTTAGGATTGAAATATTTGATAATCTCAATAGTTTTTAAGACAATACTATTTGCATATTCGATATTCCTAATGCCCCTAGTTTTTGCTACACTATATTCAGTGCATGGAGGACTTGCCCAGATAAAATCAAAATGGTTCCTATCAAATTGTTTATAATCCCATTTCAAAATATCAGTATTTATATCAGCATTTTTCAAATCCAATGAAATAACATTGAAACCGAGCGACTTTGCAACAAGTCCAACACTGCCTGTTCCGCTAAACATCTCTAATAAGTTCATTATTAAAGATATTTAGATAATATTATCTATGAGTAAATAAACCCCTGTATCTTCATCATAGTCGATTTGATAAAATGTCATAGTTGAAGCCTTCGGTTCTTTAATTTCTTTGTTATTAAGTTTGTTTAAATACGTTTGTTTCTTATTTTTATATTCAGCACTGGTTCTATCTACTTCTTTACTTTGATAACTGTTTGTTAATGGTTTCTTCTTTTCCATTTCTTGCAAGATTTCTAAAATATTCTTATTCTGTTCTAAAACCTTGTTCAGTTTTTTAACAATCTTTTCTAATCCTTCATCCATGTAAATATATATATTATATTATAAAATAAAACTTTTAAAACTAAACTTTTATTTTAAAAATCATATATCATTATAAGTCAATTCAAAATTAGTTATTGTGTAACTCGTTAAATTATTATTCAATTTACCAATTAAATTACAAATAATAGTTTTTCTAAATTTTGAATATTTATGAAACTTTTCAATATTATCTGTAATATAAATTATTAAACATTTAATACATTCAAACACATTAACAACATTAATGTTACTATTTTTGTAAATATTATTCATTTTTCTCAATGTAATTTCATAAAACTGAATAGCATTTTTATTATCATAATTAGCAATAAATCTTAAAGTATATGAATATATTCTTTTACAATAAAATTTTAAATCTGATTGTTCAAATAAATCAGCATAATTAATAGAATTATAAAACATGTTAAAATCAATTTTGCTATTTCTAAAGTCATTAACAAAATTAATTAATATATCATTTTCGTTATATTCTTCAATAAAATTATTTAATTTCAATTCTTTTACATCAATGAATTTAAGAATATTATTTATAACATCTTGCATTATAAATAATAATAGAAATAATTTTAACTATTGTTTTTCATCATTTCGCGTATAGTTTCCTGAGTTTCCTTATCACCATTATCGGATGGTGAGGCATGCCGTCCCCATTTGATAGCAATATTATGAACATCTGTTTCTAAGTTTATACTGTCTTTAGTTTTATCAATATTCATTTTCTTATCATTTCTACTTATTTTGAAACTGGTTGGAATACACGAACATTTACAATGTCCTTTCTTTTGTATTTCTAATTCATTTTTTAATTCTAACATCTTTTTACACATTGGACAAGCAAACTCAATAACTGATGTTTCTTTAACAATTTCTTCATCAGTTGAAGAAACAACTGGTTCAGTCTTATTCTTTTTCTTTCTCCCCATCTATATTAATATTTATATTTTTAATATATTGTATCACAAACTTAATTAATTCTAAAACAAAATAGCATACTTTCTTAAATCTATTATCAGTTATTAGTACTTGTTCTATATTCTCCATTTCATCTATTATATTAATATAATCTGTATAACTCCTTTTCATATTAAATAATAAGATAAAATAGTTATTTAATCTTATTATTTTCATGCATAATAGAATATTGGTGGGGCTCAGCACTGGGGTTTTCTTTACAATGCATCAAACTGATTAGCTTCAATGCTTATTGATTGAAAACAATGGAAAGCCTGTTCCATTTTTATGATATTCACTGCCAGCATATCATAAAAAAGATGTTCCATTAATATTAAATAGAATATGTATTTAAACTATTTTCTTTAGTAAGTTTTATTGCAGTTGATAGACTAACATCTCTAATATTAATATCAATAACTTCTTGTACACTACTTATCATTTCATTTGTATACATATCGGGATAATCTTTCATAAAATTTACTAACTTTCTAAAATTAAAATCTAGGTTATTGTCATTTTCAATTGACGACTTGGATACTACGATATTTTGATTTTTAATTGCCGATAAAAAGTATAACATCGTATCATAATATATTTGTTCAGTGTCGGGCACTAAGATATCACCAAATTTATATATCCTCCGAATACTAGCCACTTCACTTAAATTAATAGTTTCTATAGCCATTATGATATAATTATATTATATTTTTTATTTTATAAGTATTTATAATATTATTTTTATTATGCCTGATGTAAAACCAATTGATGAAATCAAATATGACTTTAAGCAAAGTAAGCATGAGGTCGTCCCTAAATTGCCTATGAGAGCTATGATCGTCGGTCCATCTGGAAGTGGAAAATCAACTTTACTTGTATCAATGATACTTGATATTTATAGAGGAGCATTTGAAAGAATTTTTATCTGGTCTCCATCTGTAAATTTAGATAGTATTTGGTTGCCAGTTAAAAAATACATTAAAGAAGGTTTGAAAGTAGATAATGATAAAGAACCGTGTTGGTGGGATGAGTTCAATGTTGAAGATTTAGAAAGAGTTATAGAAACTCAAAATAAAATAATTGAATACCAGAAAAAACAAGGAACGAAGAAATTATTTAATATTTTGATAATTTTGGATGATGTATCTGATAACCCAGCAATAACAAGAAATAACAAATTGTTAAATTCTTTATTCTGTAGGGGACGTCATAGTGGAATATCAACACTTGTAAGTCTTCAAAAATCATCAACAGTACCACCAATTATTAGGGTAAATATAAGTCATTTGTTTTATTATAAAGTTAGAAACTTTAAAGAAATAGAAATATTACAAGATGAATTATCAGCAATTGTTAGAAGTGATAATTTACTAGAAAGCAAGAAACTAATTTATAAAATATATGAGACCGCCACTGATGAACCACATAGTTTTTTATATATTAACCTTTTAGAAAAGAATCCAGATAAAATGTTTATGAAAATTTTTCTCAATATTTGAAAATTACTAATTAAAAAAATAAATATATTAATATTATATGATATTTTATTATTTACCAATAGAAATTAAAAACATAATAATATCGTATATTTTAGATGATGTTAGATTATTAAAAATAAAAAATAATAATATTATTAAAAAATATATTAATAAATCTAAACCAGTGTATAAGTCTTACAAATTAAATAATATGCAATATTTTGAAATTGATAATATCAATATTAATAATGGTATATCATATATTTTTAACTTAAGTGACTTAGGTAAATTACATCAAAATCATAAACCATTAAAATTATTAATTGAATACGATATATTAGCTACATCTACCTCATTTACTTGTTTGAATCATG